TGTCTGTATTTTCAGTGACCTTAAATATAATTTAAATTACTGTAAACCTACCATCATACCAACTCCACCTGTGGCTTGTGCGACAGCTCGAAGTCCATCTGATATGTTTTGAGTAACAGACTGCCCTACAAGAGTTGTGTCTGCAGATAATCTATTTACTAACTCTCCAGTCTTTGTTTTATCAAAGAAGCCCATTTCTTGACGCATTATTGATGAAAAAAGTGTTTGTCGAAGTCTATTGATAATTCTGTTTCCTAAAATCAGATAAAGTATCAAATCATAAGAAGTACATTCATTTAGAGTGAATTTAAGACTAAACATAAAGTAAAACAGGGGGATAGGACAACTATCCAATACTCTGGTGGATAGTTGTCTCATTGGCAATCATACCACATCTCCTTATTTTATATTAATTCTGAGATGACTCTCAACACTTTAAAACAATGTCTTTGTATTCCTATTAATAATTGTTCAAGACAGTATGGTGACCTCTAGATGTCATTTGTTTTTGTGGTTGTTTTTTTTTTGGTTGCTGTTTAATTGTTGCTGTCTCACATCTCTGTTTTTTCGTCATAATTAACAATTTGACACAATGTTGTTACCACTCTCTTGAAACTGGACTATGAATGTAAAGCATTCTGTGAGTATTGCATGGCAATACTTAGTCCCCTACCAGTTAAAAAATTAATTGTACTGGAATAAAATGCTAACTTGATCTATCACTTGTCATGGTGTAAACTATATAACAAATATCAAGTTAATATCTTCAAGCATGACAAATACAAAATGTGGAAAATTGATTATTTGAGTGAATTTTCTATGTCCAAGGACCATAACTCTGCACAAAATCATCAGACTGGAACAAAATTCGAATTTGATCTGTAACTTGTCATGATAAAACTATATACCAATTATCAAATCAATATCTTCAAACATGACAAAAAAAAATGAGGAAAACTGATTATTTGAGTGAATTTTCTAAGTCCAAGGACCATAACTCTGCACAAAATCAATAGACCGGAACAAAATTTAAAATTGACCTGTAACTTGTAATGATAAAACTATATACCAATCATCAAATCAATATCTTCAAGCATGACAAAAAAAAGTGCGGAAAACTGATTATTTGAGTGAATTTTCTAAGTTCAAGGACCATAACTCTGCACAAAATCGTCAGACCGGTACGAAATTCAAACTTGATCTGTAAATTGTCATGATTAAACAATACACCAAATATCAAATCAATATCTTCAAGCACGAAGAAAAAAAGTGTGGAAAACTGATTTGCCGGACTGACAGATGGACAGACAGACAGATGGAGTGCAAACCAAAAGTCCCCTTCAAGTTCGTCGGTAGGGGACTAATAAAGAATTGTGTTTAAATTTCACCTTCTAAGGCAAAGTTTACCTTAAATATTTTAGCTATCTTTTTTTGGGGCCCTTTAAGTAACTCAGCTCCCCATTCTTTCTTGCACAAACATTTATCCCTAGTAAGTCTATACATTATCTATTTTAATTTTCCAAGCTTTTTGTTTTTATATAAAAATAAGGAGATGTAGTATGATTGCCAATGAGACAACTATCCACTAAAGTATACCAAAGTCCAAAAAAAGTGGATGTAAGCAATTATAGACAACAGTACGGCCTTCAACATTTAACCTAAATGTACCTGAGGAAGATTTATGCCATTTCTTTGATTGTTTCTGTTAAATTTATTCACAACATGTATCATGTGTATACAGACTATGAACAATTTAAACTTGACATATTGTAAAGACACTTGTCTATTGTTGAAGACTGTATGTTGTTCTCTGGCATGTCTAGAAGTACGTTGGTTATTTATTTTTGTTGTTACATTTTGTAGGTTGCTTTATCATTGCAGATGAATACCCACATATCTACATCTATTCATATTGAAAAACTTATCTTTTAAAATAAAGATTTTATGATTAAATGTGATAAATTGGCATCTCCTTTTATTCTTTTTAATTTAAAAAAAAAAACAGTTCAAATTAATTAACTTGAATTTCAATACTTAGCATGCTCAGTATTCATTTTTCTCTATTCTTAATTTTTTTTATTGGTCCATTATTTTCTATTCTTCATTTTTTATTGCACCATTATTCTCTATTCTATAAACCCCATCCAGACTCTGGTAAATTCTAGCACTTTGTGTGAGTTTGTTTCATGTAAATCTGTCATAGATTTACCTCAAAAAAAGAAATATAAGAACATAAAATAAATGTTATCAAGTTATATCTAAAATACAGCGTAACATTAACACTGTTGAAAAATATCTCTATTGGTAAACAATAGCTCAGCATTATTACTTAGATTGTCTTCCTCTTTCATATCAGAGTGTCTTAATATAAGGATACATGTAGTTTAATAATAATTTGAACTACATGTATCCCTTATATTAAGACACTCTGATATGAAAGAGGAAGAATAGACAAACAAAATAAATGGTAAAGACCTATTGCATATATAACAATATTAACAGACATGATAGTATAAAAAGTTACATATTGATATATATTAATATGTAACTTTTTATACTATCATGTCTGTTAATATTGTTATATATGCAATAGGTCTTTACCATTTATTTTGTTTGTGCCAACAAAATATTTGTATTGTACCTTAGAATTGATCCTTTTGCACAATCGAGGGGTGCTCCACATCACATACAATGGCACCATTTCAATATTTGTTTTCCATGATCTGTTCATGAAAGTACATCAGCTCTATAACATTATCAAGATATTTACCTGAAACTGACATTAAGTAGACTCTTCCAAAGTTTGCTAAAGCACCAACAACAAATACACCAATCATAATTTGACAGAATGAAGTAAGTGTCTCTTTCATTTTTCCTTGTTCGGATGGTGAATAAATAATATCTATAACTTTTCCAATACAAAATGGAACTGCCATGGAAACACCACTTGATATGATCAATAAAACAACAGCACCTACAAAAATATGTAAAAATTAAGACCACAACAACTAAAATTATTCTTTGGGTTTGTTCTTCCAAAAGTAAAAGCAAGCAGACAATATTTTTTTTCTGGTTTTTTTTCCTACATTTTCACATTATTTGTGACAAGCCATCCAATTATTTTAAACAAATAACATAAAATAATGGTTATCAATGTTTTGGATTGATTTATCATGTTTATTGCAAGAAATCATTTTTAAATGAGAAATTTCTTGACAGTGATATTAATATATGTAGATTTGTTAGTTTTTTTGTTTTTTTTTTAAATAATTGCACGGATGATCATTTATCATGTGTTTTAAACTACTGCATTTCTCTTCTCCATTTTTTAATCACAGCAATACATTTATAAATTTAATAATAATATTGCACCATTGATTTTTACCAGCTGTACATATGCATGTAGTCTATAAAATGCATGTAAGTGTAAATCCTTTTTAAATAAAGGTTGTACATGTACATAAATGAGGCCATTAGTTTACTTGTTTGAATTGTTTAACATTCATGACATTTGTCATTTTGGGTCCTTTTTTATAGCAAACTACCCATGCTACCCGGTATGGCTTTTCCTCATTGTTGATGGTCGTACCGTGACCTATAGTTGTTAACTTCTGAATAATTTGGTCTCTGGTGGAGAGGTGTCTCATTGGCAATCATACCAAATCTTCTTATTTTTATATTTTCATTATTATTTTACTTCATCATTTTGGTATCAGGTCCATTCGCGCCCAATACACTTCCGCACCCTTCATATTCGCCCCCTAGGTCCGTTCGCACCCAACACGTTCACACCCAATTTTATTCAAGTTCAAGTTTTATTATTAGATATTTTCTTATATATGTATATACAAACAAAAAAAAATATTTTGAATTCCTGAATAAAAATCTCAGAATCTCACTTTATTTAGAAACAACGAAAATTTTTTTATAGCAATACACTATCCAAAACATGATTAAGATTTATTCAACACAAAAAAATGTTATCAGAATCTCACTTTATTTTGAAACAATGAAAAAAAAAATATTTACAGAGATACACTGACCAAAACTCGATTACAAAATTATTAAAGACAGAACCAAAAAAAAAGGGTGCGAAAGTGTAGGGTGCAAACGGACTTTGGGTGCGAATGTGTAGGGTGCGAAAGTGAAAGGGGGCAAACGTGAATGGGCGCGAACATGTTTTTGGGCGAACGGACCTCACTGGATTCCATCATTTCACCCAGATAAAACTTGCCTGACAACTTCCATCTCTCTGGTTTTGCCAGAGAAAACAATCTCCTGATTTCATAAGTCCTTTTCTTTGAGTTGTCAGGTACCTTGTTATTGCCAGCTTTGACATTATTAAATCTTTTCAAAATATGGAAGACTTTGGGTTTATCACATTTCAACTTTAAAAATTGTCTGCAAATAACTGATGACCTATGCCTGATATTATTACAAGTCAATCTTTGACTTAACAAGATACAATTTCTCATTAATATGGTCATATTTATTGCATCAGATCTCCAAATTTTGGGTTTATGTGTATCCGGCTGTGTATTACGTAACGTTTTTTATTCGTCTGACAGATGGAACACTGGTTGACCAGTTATTTCATGTGTTGATACTTTTTTACGACACTTCTCCTTAATTATGAAAAAGGTAGACATCTATACACTTGATTGTCCTTTATCTTCTTTAAACATGTTAAAATACAAAAATGACATGTTCCCAATGTTGACATTCATGGGCGCAGACATGTTGGATAGACATAAAACATGTATCAGAGTCCCGTTACTTTCACACTCATATCTTCAAATTATACTGACGAAATTACCAAATTTTATAATTTTATAAAACATCCTTCATCAATGAATCATTTATAGATGATTTCTTCGTCTTAGATATTGCAATTGATGGCAAATAAAATTTCAAAATTTAATGATCGGAAACTTTCATTCGTTATTTAACGTATTTCACAAATTTGCAAAAAATAAATAGAAGATGGTCCGTTTCAAAAACAGGTTCATATACATTAATTGAAAGTGATGACCATGTTAACTAATATGAGGCAGGCGTTACCTGTGAAAGGGGACGAAGTCTGTATACATTAGTTTTTTTTTAATTCAATAGATATAAGAAGATGTGGTATGAGTGCCAATGAGACAACTCTCCATCCAAGTCACAATTTATAAAAGTAAACCATTATAGGTCAAAGTACGGTCTTCAACACGGAGCCTTGGCTCACAATGAGCAGCAAGCTATAAACAGTCAGGAGAATTACTGAAATAAGTGATTTAAAAATCACTTATTTAAGTAGCAAATTCGAAATTTTGTCACAAATTGTGATTTTGTAGTTTTACCAAAATTTTAAACATATAGATTATATCTTATTATTAGTAAAATTGGAAAACATGAACCTTTTTCTTCTTTTAAATAGCAAGGTTTATGCCTTTGATGCAATAATTAGCTGTAAATTCTATATTTGTTGAAAAAATGCTATAATGAAGGCTTTACATAATGAACTGATACTTTTTTAACAGATTTTTCCCAGCAGTGGGAGTAATTTTCCTGTAAAATTCAAAGTTTCATCTTACAGATTATGTAATAAAATTTTACTGTTTGCGATCAAAATTTCACTGTTTGGGGGTGTTGAAAGTAGTGGGGTAATTAAAATAATACTACTTAAAGAAGTGATTTTTTGGAAGAAAATAGAGGTATGATACTTAAACAAGTGATTTCCATGTCATTATCCCAGATTTAGTACAAAGTCATCACCTGACATGACCAGTCATCCTATCAACACAGATGTTGGTTCTGATAATTTTAGCAACATAATTAGTCCCTGGATCATTAGTATTGTATATTTATAGCTACAATAAAATTAAATCACTAAATCTAGTGATTAATTTGTACTACTTAAATAGGTGATTATTAAAGAAAGACAACTCTTACTTCCAACATTTGTAGACACAATGTTACTTGAATCAGTGATTTAAAAATCACTCATTTAAGTAAGTCCCCTGGCTGTAAAAGGCCCCAAAAATGACTAGTGTAAAACCATTCAAACAGGAAAACCAACGGTCTAATCTACTGTAAAAGCAGAAATTTTCGTGGAGAATTTTATTTCGTTTATTTCGTAGAAAGAATATATCCACGAAATTAAAACCCCTACGAAAATTTAACCTACATATAATATCACTTCCATTTAATGGAAACCACGAAATTAAATCCGCATGAAATTTTATATAGAGACAAAACCACGAAATTTTAACCCCACGAAAATTAATGTTTCTACAGTATATAAAATCGAGAAACGAGAAACACTTATGAACCACATCAACAAACGACAACCACTGAACATCAAGTTCCTGACTTAGGACAAGTGCAAACAATTGCAGCGGGCTTTCTTTGAATGTCTGACTGTTTCCAATGTTAAATACTTTTAATTGTATTTCAGGTATTTAGTTTGTGAAGTTATGACAGACGGTAGGAAACCAGAGTTTACACAGATGGATTTCCTTCATTGTTTGAAAGATGCAGTATCAAAATATCACGGAGACTATGGCACAGGGTCTATTATGACTTCACTATTTGGTACATGGAAACCTTATATTTATAACAGACTTAGGGTTTCAAAAATGTACTGTTAATTCAGAAAATTAATTTAGCTTTTTTTATTTTATTAAAACATTAGAGGGAGGGACTATTATCATGTAAGTTAGACCTCCCATTTTAAATTTTGATGACATTATTTGTTTGCAGTATTTTCTAACACATTTTTTGGTACATGAATGGCATTATTAATATCCCATATTTGTGTCTGCTGATTAATTATGTTGACCTCTGGATGTTTTTTGTTTATGTTGTTGGATTGCTGTCTTTCTTTTTACCTGTGACTCAACATCTTTTTTTAAGTCATGCATAAGAATTTCTGTATTTTAGTTGCATTTTCTCACTGTTATTTTCAAGCGTCCATGCATTTAATCAGGAAAATGTATGAAAAAACGAACTGATTCTGTTTTTAAAGTATAAAACGAATTGTATGAAATAAACTGTAATGAATAATGCAGTTCATAACTTTGCTTAAGTAATTGATATAAAAATAAGGGGATGAGGTATGATTGCCAATGAGACAACTATTCACCAAAGTTCAAATGAAGTGGATGTAAGCAATTATAGGCAACTGTACGGCCTTCAACAATGAGAAAACCCCATACCGTATAATTGGCTATAAAAGGCCTGACATGAAAAATATGAAACAATTCAATTGAGAAAACTAATGGCCTAATTTTATAACAAAACAATTAATGAAAAACAAATATGATAGACATGAACCTAATGTTTGTGAGAAAATGCTCAGTGTTTACAAGTCAATGAACACTTTAAAAAAAACATTAATATTTATAATTCTAATAAAATGCACTAAAATTTATGCCCAGACTTTGTTTCTAATTTGTATTTGTAGTGTAATGTAATTTAATTTAAGGTTTAGTATTTGTAATTTTATACATACATGAGGGTATATATGGGGGTCTTCATTTCTGTATTCTTTAAATTTTTTTCGGAAAAGCTGGACATCTTTTAATATGTTACAAACGAAAGTGAACCAACGCCTGGTAAATCTATAGTACGGTAGAGTCCCTGAAGTGGATATCTCGGGTATGCAGGGTCATTATGATAAAGCACATAAAATGTAGAAAGTTTTTTAACAACAACACTGTAGGGATTGCTGCAGAAAATTTATTGATCGACATGTTTTGTTGGCACCAAAACATGTTGATCAATAAATTGTCTGCAGCAGTCCCTAAAGTGTTGTTGTTATAAGACTTTCTACATCTTTTTATATGGATCTACCTTAAAACCACATCTATTGTTTTCTCTATTCTTTGTATTTTTGGCACATTCTCCTCTATTCTGTGACCCCATCCACATCCTCATACATGTTCTTTATGATTATTTTTTGGGGTTAGATTAACTTTTAGTATGGGTCACATTGGCATAGAGGTATATTGAGACTATTACTTATCACCTCCAACTGATGATTGAATGAAATATGAGTAAATGGCTGCCAGACAAACATCTAACCCCCAGTTGTCAAAAAAAGTTATAAAATCATAGGCTTGGAAAAAAGGTTATTTTGAAGTTCAGACTTTATGTTATTTAAGTTTGTGAGTAAAAGGCTCAGTGTTTGTTACATATCAAGGAATGCCCTTAAAAAAAACTTTTTTATTTAAAATTTTAATAAAATGCACTAAACATGCTAAAATTTATGTCCAGTTGAAAAAAAATATTTTAAAAAACGTACAGAACTATTTTGCCTGTGTAAGAAATCACTCACAGTGTCATGGCACAGGTTTATACATATATAAACATTTTGTTGCCATGATGCTAACATTGGAAAATGGGTTTAGTATATTGTTTAAATGTGAATAATTTTTTAATCAATTGCAGTAAAGTATTTTAATCAGGAAACTGGGATCATTATTGTACGAGTTAAACGTGGATGTCATCTGATGATCCAGTCAACTTTGACCTTTATAACAAAGGTCAAAGATTGTGAGGTCTTGTTACATACTATTCACATAGGAGGTAAATATTTGTAAAGTATTTTGGAGTCTTCCTACATTATACTCGAATTCCATTTGAAGTGGGAAAAAACAGAATATAATTATTTTAGACATAAACCAGACTGTCTGTGAGATATATAACTACTGGTAACTTCTTTTTATTATATCTTTGCACCTGATATTTCAACAGTCCATGTTTCCATTTTTCCATTCAGAATTTGTAACCCCATAACCAAAATGTGACAAAGAACATACACACGGAAAATATTGAATACCATATAAGAATATGAATAAAAGTAGACATGGGGAATACATCAATGAGACAGCAACCCAAACAAATATCCAAACAACATCTAGAGGTCAACATACAGTATTCAACAATAGACATGGTGGCTTAACAATATGGGAAGCTTGAAATTGCCTTAAAATGGCCTGTTTATTGGACTTGTTGGGGCCATGGACAATCTTGGACTATGTATATACCTATAATACTGAGTTGCTCCAAACATTTGGTTACTAGATACCCTTTATCCAGTGGTGTATTTGGTTGATAGTACTAGGTTTAACCTATTGGTAAATCTTCATCTGTGATTAGAAATAACTGCCAACCAGGTCCTGAACACTCAAAAATTGTTCTTTCTTCATGATAATTGAATACACTGGTATTTAGGCTTAAGTACAGGAAGGAACTTCAAAAACCTTTTTATGATCTAATAAAATTTTTATTGATTTTTTTTTCAGGTACATTAAAGTCATGTCAGAAATTTCTGATCAGATATCATCAAAAACAACTAGCTACATCACTGAAACAATGTAAAACTAAAGGTTAGAAAACTTTAATTCAGTATATTATGTGTATTGCTAATATTATGTGTATTGCTAATATTTTTGTATCAATTATTGTCATGTTTTTTTTGTCAATTAGAGAATTTGGTGGTCTCTGTTAAATTAATCCCAACTTTTTTAGACTCTGTGAGATGACCTATGGTATAGCCATCTGTACATTGTTGAATACCATACATTTACCTCAAGAGGTCTTTTAGATTCTTGTGTCAATAGTTTGTTGTCTCATTGATGTATGTTCATCAACTTCTTTTATTGATAGTTGCTCAAAAGAAACTTAGTTTAAAGTATATACCCTAAAACAGGATTACAAAATTGAGTAGTTTCTCACTTGAAAAAAAAATGAAATAAATTGATAAACAATGTTGTTCAATATTCACAAATTGTATAAAATTGCCAATAGGACTGGATGTTGTATTTATCTGTGACACAAAATCACTGAACATACTTGAAAAAACTAAAATATGTAAACATCACTTTTATTGCTGCTCACAATGAGACCCACAACTTTTAGCAAACACTAACATCTCTATGAAGTTGAAGAGGGAGCCTAACATGGTTTAGCCTATTAAAGGAAACAATCATATTATGTACTGGTACTGCTGTAAAATATTTTCAATAATTTCATACAATACAGGACAGTTTGGTAGGAAACATCATACATAGACTTATTTATTTATTCTATACATACTCATTCAGAGGCAAGAGTATTTTCAGAGCAACCAGATTTAAATATAGATCCTGTGTAGATGCTTTTCTTACAAGGATACGACACTGCTAAGGTTTTAGTTTCTGTAGTTCAGACCTATTCATGTCCATTGGATTTTTATACGACCGCTTAAAATTTGCGTTCGTTTAATGCTATCATGTCGTTGTCGTCCGAAGACACATGTGGTTTCCGGACAATAACTTTAGTTTAAGTGAATGGATCTCTATGAAATTTTACCAGAAAGTTCAATACCACAAAAGGAAGGTTGGGATTGATTTTGGGGTTATGGTACCAACAGTTTAGGAATAAGGGGCCAAAAACAAGCATTTTTGTAGTTTCCGGACAATAACTTGTGTGTTAGTGTATGGATCTCTCTGAAATTGTACCACAAGGTTCCATATCACAAAGGGAAGGCTGGGATTGAGTTTGGGGGTAATTGCCAAATTGCAAGCATTTTTCTAGTTTCCAGACAATAACTTGTGTTTAAGTTTATGGAACTCTCTGAAATTGTACCTTTTTTTTGGGGGGGGGGGGGTGGATTTTATTTTCAGTTTTTTTTGGGGTTCATGTTTTTTTTCTTCAAAATTTTTGAAATATTTTTTTGGGGGGTTTCATACCTTTTTTCTTAAAGATTTTTCAAATGGGGGTGGGGGTGACAAATTTTTTGGGGGGATTTTTTTTTTTTTTCATAATTTTTTGGGTTTTTTTTTCCCCAAAATTTTCCATTTTTACATTGATTATTTCTTATTTATTTAGAAAAGCAACAAATACTGATATGGCAGGAGATACACACCAAACAGGGTGTGTAAATTATTATATATAACAGATTAACTAAGTATTGTGCAACTGCACAGTATTGCGCAATAGCAAGAAATCTTCAACTGAAAATAAATACAAATCTTTTAACCAATTTCAAAGGGATTAATTTAAAGTCTTTAATTTTTGGGGGTTCTAACCTTGTATTACTATTTTGGATATTGGGCCCCATTTTTAAATTGGTCTACATTGAGGTCCCAAGGGTCCAAAAATTAAACTTTGTTTAATTTCATCCAAAACTGAATTATTGCGGCTCTATGATATGCTGAATCTTATTGTGCATTTAGATTTTTTATTTTGGGCCCTGTTTTCAAATTAGTAAATATTAAGGTTTGAAGGGTCCAAAATTAAACTTTGTTTGATTTCAACTAAAATTAAATTTTTGGTGTTTTTTATATGCTGAATCTAACCATGTTGTTAGATTTTGGATATCAGACCATAGGTAAATTAAATGTCCCATTTCAAATTTTAAGATCTTTGACCACATTTATTTTGTATCAGAAACCTATATTATATCAAAAATTTGATCACAATCCAAATTCAGACAGTATCAAGCTTGAATATTGTGTCCAAACTTGCCCCGCCTGTTCAGGGTTCGACCTCTGCGGTCGTATCAGGCTGCGCTCGGCGAAGCATTTTATTCCTTAATGTGACACAGCTTCAAAAATTAAGAGTTAGAAATTTCATGGGTTTATGTTATAATTATAAGAACAGAGTAGAATGGATCTCACTCAGTTCCTTATAAAACATATGCATTACAACCAGATTGTTTGCAGTAGTTCTTAACTTTTTTGTTTCAGAAGAGAAAACCGTGGTAGGAAAAGCCGTCAGAAGAAGTGATGCCATTGTAAAAGCCAGTAATCTGAAAAAACTAGAGCTGAATATTTTGTCAGATGTCACATGACATGAATTGGAAAGCCTAAGATATTAGAAAAGTATGGAGATGTTAACCATTAAATAATAAACTGTCCAATTAAAATATGATGCTTGAACCAGAAAATAACATTGACTTTTTGGTGAACTGTACTCAACTCAGAAGTTACTGTTCAATATGCATATGAAGACAAGTTAAAAAGATTGAATCATGTAAAGTTAAGAGTAGCAATACTATAAATGAATCAATAATCTGTTTGATTGTTTGTTGATGTTTAATGCCACTATCAGAACTCATTCCCATAAATATTGGCCAGTTTTTGTTCGTGGTGGAAAAACAGAGTACCTGGAGAGAACCATTGACTTGAATCAATGATATGAATATTAAATAAATTACATTGATATAATGTGATGGATATGGTTCTCAGTATGACCTTTCTAGGAAAGTCTACAAGTGAGCAATGGTTACTGAGGTAGAGGTAACTATGGCCTCTGATATGTACCATAACTTCGTTACTCTAAACTCATACATATGTGGCAGCATTGGAGAGGAGATTGGAGTTCCCCAGTGTTTTTTACCCTTAGTCAAATTTTAACTAAGATGTCAGTGCACCAAGTTTAACCCAAAAAATAAGACTGCAATGGAATCAGACTTATCCCTCATCACACCACATCTTCTTTTTTATAATTATCCCTCAAATGATGTTTATGTATCACCACAAACTAAGATTTGGTGGAGTATACAGGTAACAATCACCCTGTTGTTTGGTCTGACTGTCTGTCCATGCTTCTTATAAGTGAACTCCTAGACAAATGGAGGATATTGATGAAACCTAACTGAGTTGTAACACATTACCTTAAAATAGGCATAAAGGAATAAAATCAAGGTTCTACATGTCAAAGGAGAAATAATCAAAATTACTCTAAAATTGCAATATGTGTAAATAGTCTCTCATAACGTCAACCCCTCCATTATAGCTGGACAGGTGTTCAAACTTTTCACAATAAGGAATAAAATTCTGATCCGATATGCTCAAGGGGAGATAATAGATTTTTGGGGGTAGGTGGTTTCCCTTTGTGAGTTAACTCACAGTTCTAGTTTTACATGTTGAGGAATTTACACTTACCTTTAAAAATTATGCTTTAAGGAATTTTAATACAAATAAGCTTACCACTTCAATGCAGTACAGAACTTAACTTAGGATGATTTTCTTATTTTTAATCTATTTTTTTATTTCTAATGTAATTGGTCATAAATTATTGACAAGCATTGAAAATCATTTGTTTCAAAAGCTGGAAATACAATTAAATTTGTTAGATCTGGTTGAATAATGCATTTGATTAATTCTCAAGTCATATTAATACATTCTACTTAATCTGTACTGTAAACTGATGAATACATGCAGTTGTCTATTTTCATTTTAACTAGGTTGTATTTCATCAAACTATTTTACTAAAGTAATTGAAATGTAATCAAAAAGTAATCGATGATTATATGATATTTTTTGCTATAATCAAATAAATTATGATTACATGAAATCGAAAATATTGTTGATTACAGATTACTGTCGATTACTTGAAAAAAAAGTAATCAATAACAATCTATTATGATTACAGATTACAATTACCCCATCCCTGAATGATATAGTTAACTGCTATTCTATTTCCATGCATTAAAATAAATATTACATAAACAATTCTTGATATCAGACTTCAAAGTTTATTTATTCAATAATTCTATACAACTAATATAGCAATTCATCATCTTAAACTAAGACATTTCAACAAATATTAACACTGTTCTAGCACAAATGTTCAAATTTTATTCATGATCGCAATAACTAAACTCACATTTTTGTCCATTCTTAAAAAATCACAATAAAAAATGCACGCAATAATTTCTGAGTTTACAGTATTCAAATGTCAATAACATTTTAATCATATTGTAAAGAATTTTTAAGAAAGCACAGGTGCTGTCATTGCGATTCCATTCCCTATATTACCTTTTTTTACATTGTTGATAAATTTTCAATATTAGACCTTATGGATTATTTTTTATTTATTAGAGCAAAAAGTTCAAAATTTATTGTCAAAGTTTGTATTTGACACAGATAATAATGCACTTCAAAATAAACAAATTACTTAAAAAATATGATTTTGATTTTGAAGTTTTATAAAACTGAAACAGAATGTACTAAATTTAACCTGCATTAATTAATAATTGTCCAAAGGCAAATGGAATGTTCAAAAGAAACCTGAGAAAATATGCAACAAAATAATTGTTTACAGATGAATAACATACTCGAGATTATGTGCGAAGGTTATATTTTTTTTACAAATGACATTTATCTTTAACAATATACTATCAATCATCTTTAATTTTTAATGCTGTTTTCTTTGTACCTAATATGGTGGTCAATTACTGACTTGTTCGTGAGTAATAACACAACAATTCCTTATATGTAATATTCTGAAAACTTTAAAGAAAAAAATGCAAATTTCTAATTATATTTTAAACAAATATACAATCTAAATGTAGCTACAGTACAAAAAAGTGGACAAACCTACTTAAAAATAAAGTAAAATAGATTTTAAAGATCTAGAATAAATAATCCTTCAACAGTTGACATTCATACACTACTAAAACATAATTTAAAATATTTAACTTGGGAGATAACTCTATTTGTCTAAGTCATAGTATCATCAACTCAACATAAAAAAAAAAGACAAAAGGTCAAGGTTATGTTGCCCTCCAGATGTCTTTGTTATTTTTGTTGTTTTGTTGCTGTCACATTAATGTATACCACAAACCTCCTTGTATTCATATGGTCTCAAACAATAGACAACTGTCCTAAAGCTCTAAACCAACCAGTGTGAAGACAAGCAGAGATTATCAAAGATCTATCTATAGGACAAAAACATCCATATTTGACAAGACAACCACTGTCTAGATTTCTAACTTGTGACAGGCATTTTAACATGTGTGTATTTCACAACATATATTGATCCACTCCTTTGTCTCTAACAAAATATGTCAGAGGATATCTTGATGTCAGTGTCCAGTGTATGTCATATAATGATGGATTTTCTTATATGCTTCTGATTTCATACTGCTCATAAACGATTACTCGACTCTAACCTTTGACTCTCAAAAGAACTACTGCAAATTAGAAATTTTGCGATGTTTTTATTATTGCGAAAATGTGACGGTATAGTTTTTGCAAAAATGAAAGTTTGTATTCAAATTTTGATAGCAATATTTGTATATGCACCATTTGTTGAAATCCTGATAATTAGTCTCATATTCTTGTCATTTAAGTCAATTATTCAGCAATGGCACTAATAAATGTACACAGACTTCTAAAACAATTTACTGTGCTAAATTAATAGTGATGATTCCTATTTACCATATCTTTCACCATTTTTTTTATAAAGGCTAAGAAAAGTCATTTTATTTCATCCTGAATAAGCATGAAATATTTGCAACAAAAATTTAAGCAAACAAAAACCAATCAAACCTATACATATATTAAGACAAGCAATTATAGTGGTGCAAATTATATTCTAACAGTGACAATCAAAAATACAAATATTGGGACTGCAAAAATGTAGTCCTAAAAAAAACAGGAAATGCAAACATAGCCCCTATTCCTTCCGTCAATTGCATTTCTTTGTAGTTGGGGTTTGGTTCAAATAGTAAAAATGGCAGTACATAAAATGCTTAATTAAATACTATAACTGCAACAAGAGAATGTCAATTACTGAAAAAAAACCATACATTTGACAAAACGAGTTTCAAACAGGGTAATACATTGGAATTATTCTCTAAGAATTCATGCAGCGTATGTAAACTAATGGAATGTTTGTGGAAAAATTTTTACAATTACATTTAAAATTGCATTGTTGATTTCAACATTTGCTATGTGTCTTTTTGTAGAGATGAGGCAACCAAAAATGTTGTACATTGGTATGCAAAGCACCACTATTAGGGCAGTGTGTTGCTATTTAAGTTACATAAAGGATTGCATAGACAAATTTACATAATAATTTATAACAGTAAAACAAAAATATGCATAACAATTCGAAACTCTTCTACTTTTGCCTCTGTAAAGTTTTAAAAAATATATATTTTACCATACTAAATTTTAAATTCATATTATAGAATTTTCTGCTATTCTATAATATATAAAGTAGGTCAGCATATTATTTAATATATATTTTTTCCTATTGCTATAACATACACTGTGTGGTGCCTTAAGCCCATTATTTTGAAGGATCTCATTTTTCCATGTTAGTGATTCATACATAACCAATACTCATATTCATAGGTTATTTTGAGAAGATTTCTTTCCCCAAATTACTTTAAGTAGCTCAAGCCCAAGTTCTGACCAGACGACTTTTGAAGGATTGTTACCCTTCAAAGTTATATCTTAATTAAATTGGTTGCTATTTTTAATATCTGTTATTAGAAAGATACAAAAGTAAAGTAAGATGTTTGACTAAAGTTTAATATAATAAATAATACTGTCCTTCTTCCAATTGACTGACTTTTGTTTGTAGCACTTATCTGATACATATGACACACCTGTAGCCGAAGGGGGAGAGGGGTTCAGCAAAGCCCCACCCCCTGAAAATAAAAAATATTATGAAAGACTATTAAATTGAGATTCAGATTAAAATTTGACTTTTAAAGTCAGAGCGACATTACCCCAAAATAACCCCCTTCAGAGACATCCTAGTTTTAGGTCTGTATGAAAATAGTTCTAATGTTGTTTTTTTTTTTAGATTTAAAAATGTTTATCTCCACGTGACTTTTAACCCTTTCAAATCTTTTTAAGAAACCATTATCTGTGAACACAGGTGGATGAAAATAGTTTATAAAACAAATTAACACATGAGCTTCGTTGGATAGAAATCGACCTTGTGCAAAAGCACGTATAGATGTACATTGAAAGTTGAAATTTTTCTGTTTTGTAGATTTTCTTATAACAGCTCATTTTTCAAACAGTTACAGACTTTCTATAGAGATTTTTTCAACCCAAAATAGGTTAACAGATGTATTGATATTCATTTGCATAAGGTAGATTTCTTTCCAATGCAGCTCACATAATATATTTTTGATTTCCATAATTCCTATATTCACATTGTAGCTAATTGTTGATTTTTAATCTAAATGTACAATCACCATGACAATTAGGCAAGAGTCATTTAGTTCTGAAATCACAGGTGAAGTCTGTCCAGTAATGACAGAATCCTTCCTTGCAGAGGGGTCACAATGTCGGTTGTCTGGTTCAACCGTCTAAACAACAGGAAACCACCAACCATTAAACTCACAACACCAACTTGTATGAAAGAACTGAGTACCTATTAAAAAAAATCATAATAAACAGTAGAGTGCATTAATTGAAAACATTGTCATTTAAGCTCAAAGCATTATTATCTGGTTTTCAGATACTTCAATGTCTAAACAGAATGAAAAGTGTTTGATGTGATATGAAACAGTTTTTTCCCTCTGATCTTTCAAATGAACAACTATTGCATCATATTTTCATTATTATAAATACCAAGTGCCAATGAAAATGCAACAGTTGTTTCATAGAAATTTTTAACTATTTTTGTAACGACCGTCCATATTTGTTTGAAAATGAATTTTTAGGTTTCTATTATGTCTCATCATGGATATAAGCAGCTTGTAATCATAGATATATATATATATATTTTTTAAACTGTACATATCACATAAATAAATTTCAATTTGCAATTAACCTTCTGTTACAATATACAAAGCAATAGACTAGAGATTTGGATGATTAATTGATTGATTGTTTGTGTTTAACGCCACTTTCACCCCTGATGGCTATATTGTTGAGGCCAGTTTTTATTGGTGGAGGAAGCTGGAGTGTCTGAAGAGAACCTCTGACCTCTTGCATGCAAGAAAACTGGCAATCATAGTCAATTAAGATTACAGTCAAATGCACCTGCCACATGTGGGGTTCAAACTAACAACCTAAGTGTTGACATGCTAGTGATACAGTAGATGATCTACTTAGAAAAATCGGCCACCAAGGCCCGACTTAAGAATTGGACTTGTTATCTTAAATAGTATACCTTATCCTGTTGTTTTCTCTTGGCTATACATAAGTGATATCTTTCTCTGGAAAATGAAACCTATAAACAAATACATAAATCTTTGAAGTTAAAGGAAATAGACATATACACATGACTACAATCTAATTAAATACTAAGATTAAAACATCAAAGGGTACAACACTTTCTTTTCAAAATTATATTTTCTTTCAGTTTCTAAATCAACTATATAAGTTTGCTAAAAATAACACTGAAGATTGGAATTTTTTTCAGTGTATTACCGTAAGGATTTAAGGGCAGGCCTGGAGTACAGTTTTTTTTTGTTGTTGCTGAATTTATAGTATTTTTGTGTTAAAAATGCATGCTCCTGAGAAGTAAAAGTTATTTTTGCATTGAAAAGTATTTATATTCCTTCAGAAAACAGGAATCCAAAGGGATGAGGGGGAGATGCACCTTTCTATTTTGGGTTAACTACTATGGACCTTGTTTTTGAAGTGTATATTATTTTCAGTTTTGAAATCCTTTTGACAAATATTACTTAATTTCACTATGTATTTAATGAAAGTAATCAATAAAAAAAGTTATAACAGGACCTCCTCATATAATTCCTATCAAAAAGTAAAATCACAAAAATACTGAACTCCGAGGAAAATTCAAAAAGGAAAGTCCCTAATCAAATGGCAAAATTAAAAGCTCACACCAAACGAATGGATAACAACTGTCATATTCCTGACTTGGTACAGGCATTTTCTTATGTAGAAAATGGTGGATTAAACCTGGTTTTAAAGCTAGCTAAGCCTCTCACTTGTATGACAGTCATCCAATTTGATTAAGATTGTCCCAATGAATTATGATGAAACAAGAGGCTCAACTGAGCCTGTATAGTGTACCTGCTGAGAAAGTGCCAGTCTGCAAAAAAAGGACCTTTAATTGCATGTACTAAGTATGTTTGTGTTGTTGGACATTTTACAATTTACACTTTTAACAAAGCTCCTATAGCTTTAGAGATAGCAGCCAAAAACTGCAAAAACAGTAAAAAAATTACATTTCTATGGGGCTACAACCACAATTGGATTTTCTGAAATTTTAAGGTAGATAGATCTTATCATGCTGATTATTTTTGCAATTTACACTTTCAATCTAGCTCCTGTAGTTTTCACGATAACAGCAGAAACTGTGAAAATTGAAAAAATTGATATTTCAAGGGAAAATAACTGAAAAAAACAGTTGTTTGGATTTTTAACCTAGTGCCTATAGTTTTCGAAAACAATAGCCAAGAACTGCCAAAAAAATTAAAAATCAATATTTCAGGGGCAAAACTCAAATACAGGTTCACAGTATTTTTAAACTTTTAAGGGCAGATAGAGCTCAATGTACTCCAATTTACAATTTACAAGTTTTCATTTTTCTCTAATAGCTATCATGACTTTCAAGAAATTAGCCAAAAACTAGTTTGACCCCTATGTACAATTTTAGCCATGGTGGCCATGTTGGTTGATCAACTTGGACAAAAATCACAAACTTCACAGAAAACACAAATAGATGAAGCTGACAAGCATTGGTTTAAATCGTTTGCATTGGTTTAAATCGTTTGCATTGGTTTAAATCGTTTGAGTGGTTTCAGAGGGGAAGATTATTAAAGAAAAGGTTACTGACGACTGAAGACGGAAGCAAAGTGATGGCCTTAGCTCTCATGATCCATCAAATAATTCTCACCATAGTATATAATGGAACCCAAGAGTTAGGGAATATCCAATGCAGCATATTATCAATCTTCTTACGTAACAGGAACATCTTAGAATTCACAGATTTTCTCATCTGAAATAATAATATAATAATGTTAATTAAGAAATGTGGCAATTTTTTCATTATTGCAGAATTTACTACTGGAATCAATTTGGCAAAAATAAAAACTTGCATTTAAAAATTTGATAGCATTATTTGTATGTTTCCAGAAATCACAATAACTTATCTGACATTTATGTCCATTACAATTTATAAACAATCACAACAATAAATGCATGCAACAACTTCTGTGCTTCTTTCATTTAATTTCACTACTTTAGGTCAAATATTTATGATAATTACCTCTACATAATTGTACATGGCTAAATCCACTATAGCTTTGGCATCTGGGTTTCTGTGTTCTGTGTAAGCTTTCAAGGCAAGTTCTGTAATAAACAAGAATTATGATGTCCTAGCAATTTTCCATTTTGATTTAAACAATGGCCATATATTTCTTAAGCTGCATACTGAACCTAAATGTTGACAAAGCTGTCGCAACCAACGGCAGTCAGCAGTTGGAATGTAAGATTGCTATGTCTCGCTTCTGCAACTTTTGTCAAAAGCTGGAAAACAATGTTTTAAAATATATACCCCCATCAGGAGTAACAAGCCAAGTAATGTTATAGGAACAGCTGCTGAACCGAAGCTCTTAGGTCCTTATGAAATTTTTTGACAATTTCGGACTAACATTCATTCCGCAGCTATTATAACAGGAGTTTTGTACAGAATAAAGAGACAACAATGGAGATAATAATGTAGACAACACAACACACTTATTATGAATGTGACACAAGGAGGTGATGTAATAAAATTGCTTTTTAGAAAGACCCAGATCAAATACTCACCTAAGTCGTCATTGTGTTTATCCAGCATGTCATTCAGCACAATACAATCTTCAAAACCCTAGAAAATCAATCAAGCCAATTATCATTTAAACATGTTAACAAGCTATAAAAACATTTTTCAATGCCTAAATTTCTTTACTGTAAATTCATTTATTTTTCGTGGGCACCAATTTTTCGTGAATAGAAGGAACATTGTATCTTTATTGATACTTGATTTAATGGTTTTAAAAAACTTCCTTCACAAGCCTAAAGGAAATCTATACTTCGTTGAACATTTGATTTCATGGTTTGCTTTTGCCCATGTAATTCACCAAAATTGGTATCTCAAGACAGGAATATATATGAATCTACAATAAATATGTAACAAGCTGCAAAAACTTTTTTCAATGTATAATAATTACTTAATATGTTTCATAAAAGTTCAATCATTTTATTAGAAGAAGAACATGCTGATATGGCATAAATGCTTTACTACAACAATTGTAAATCTTAGGGCTCGTTTAAAGGGACATTAGCTGTCAAATTCATGTTCACCGATTTGACTCAAATTCTCATATTTGATTTATAACATACTAAAACGTTTATCCAAATTATAAAAAGTCTAAAATAACAATTTACAATGCATGGGATCGATAATATGTATCAGCATTTCATGTGTGTAATTTAGTCTAGATGCCATCTAATTAACCATAGAGGTGACTTCCAAAGACTGTTGTCGGTCATATAACCCCGATATAAACATTAATAGATATATAAATAGAATGCGAACTGGTGCAATTGGATTTATTTTAGGTCTGTTTGATTTCATATTATAGGCTAAATATATATGTTAATGATCGTGTTTACCTGTATAAGAATGAGTTTTTGTGGATCGAATCAGCCAATTAAATGGTTTACCCTTGTTTCACTTTCAATGTTGACATTATTTTCCTTTTAATAACTAAACATGCCTAATTCATGCATAACACAACTCTAGCTAAGGGGTTATATTGAAGGTCACATGAATACGGATTCAATGAAGTCGAATTATTCACTTGCAAGTGAATAATTCATCAGCAATGTTTCTAAGCTTATTTTGACAAAATTGAACCAAACTGGCTGCTAAAAGCGAATCATTATTTCACTATTTCACTTTCATTAATGATTGAACAAAAAAAATCATATTTTAATTTTTTTTTATATCTCATAGCTAATGCTCCTTTAATATAAAAATATGCAGATGTGGTATGATTTCCAATAAAACAAATATCCACATGTTACCAAATGACCAAGTTTTGTCAAAAGAAGGCAACTGCAACAACATTTTGTCACAGTTACAGCAAAAGAAAAGAAATAACAGTTAACCTATCTATATAAATGTACTGGCAATAACATATATTAGCTACAAGACTATTCTATATACTTGGGGAAATCTGAAGTTTGGTAAAACACATTAAATATCTACCTACAATAAAAGTTTGCAAAAGAAAAGGGTGATGGAAACTAGGTAGAAACTCTCATCTCATATGTAGTCTCTATAAAAAGGTGCGGAAGATACGGAAAAGTCAAATATACTCTGGATTCATCATTACTTGTGGGATACTATTTTTCAAGGATTTCATGGGTAAAGGTGAACCAACAATTGATATGTCCAATGAAAAACAAATATTCTACAGGCTTGTATGCAGAATTTTATAAAAATATTTTTTTCCTGAAACCATGAAAATAAATAAATCCACAGTATTATATTTAATAGGTCTACCTATTTATACAGCAACAATTATTTATGTTATTAACTAATTTTCTTGCAAGTGTTCTATTTCACTTAGTTCGTACAGAAGGATTCTTAAATAGTGGATGTGTCGTCACAACACAAATGTTCATGTCTGCTGCCAAATTTCATTGGCAATAATCTAGGGAAAGTATGTGAAGAAAAACAGTGTATTTACCAAATTTACCAGAGTCCTACCGGAGCAAATTGTTTGTAATTAGAATTTGCAAGAAAACTTTTTGAATGCATGCAATTTATCTTGCCTGCAACCAATAAAATATGGAAAATAATGGTTTTACTCCTCTAATTCAGGAAAGTCTGAAAGCTTACACAATTCATTCCTTGTCCATAGAATGGTACCATGGCATGAGCAGCATCCCCCATTATCACCACTTTATCTTTGACATGGTATGGACTACACTGTAATTATAAATATATCCCCCATTATCACCACTTTATCTTTGACATGGTATGGACTACACTGTAATTATAAATATATCCCCCATTATCACCACTTTATCTTTGACATGGTATGGACTACACTGTAATTATAAATATATCCCCCATTATCACCACTTTATCTTTGACATGGTATGGACTACACTGTAATTATAAATATATCCCCCATTATCACCACTTTATCTTTGACATGGTATGGACTACACTGTAATTATAAATATATCCCCCATTATCACCACTTTATCTTTGACATGGTATGGACTACACTGTAATTATAAATATATCCCCCATTATCACCACTTTATCTTTGACATGGTATGGACTACACTGGAAATATAAATATATTCTGCAGACACAAATTGTATTAATAGTTTGGTGCTGAAATTAGACATCTATCTAGTCAGTAGTTGTCTTTTTTATATCATAATGTTTTTTTTTTAATCATTTGGGGGATTTAGTGTTGCTGGAAAATCTTTGATTATTGCCTCTGTTAAATTCATTCACAACTTTATTAGACTCTGAGGTATTTACAGCTAGACATACTGTATAGGCATTTTTCATTTGTTGAAGACAGTTCTTGACCTCTAGATGTCCTTTGGGTTGCTGTCTCAGTGATGTATACCCAACATTTTCTGTTATTCATATGAATTTCTTTATTCTTTAATTTTTAAACAATTTTTATTAATTTTTTTTCAATTTTGCCAATTATTCTCTTCTGTTTGCCCATTATTCCTTATTCATTATTTGTTTTCCCTATTTTTCTCTCTTCTTTAATTTGTTTCCCTTGTATTTTGCCTTTTTCCCCATTATTCTCTATTCTGTAAATCTCAATTAGACCCTCATTTATAGTTTTGTGAATCTAAAACTAACTCCTACCTTTATAGAAACCATTGGGAGAGCTTTACTAGATTTATAGATTTCCTTCAGAAATTTCCTGAAAAATAATAAGATATTTTTTGGTGAAACACATTTTCTAGTAGTTTTGAATGACAAAATATGTTTTCCAATTTTTATACCTATCACCCACCTCCATGTATTGTAATAAGAGAGAGGCGAAAAATACTTATAACAAACTGACAATACCATGGCAAATAAAGAGCTGCCCCATGAGCGCATGATACGCCCGTTGCTTTTTCAAAGAATAATATTCCATAACTCCTCAATGTCATATCAGAAATTTATAAAAAACTAAAGGGAGGTTATTTTAATAGATATAAACCTGTCACCAAAGTTTCATAAAAACTGCCCAAAGCACTTTTGAGTTATTGTACGAAAACTGTAAAATCCCCCTTTTTTAATGAATAAAACCCCATAACTCGGAAACGTTAAATTTAAAATTTATATAAATCAAAAGGGAGCTTACGTCAATAGATATAAATAATTCACCAAAGTTTCATGAAAACTGTTCAAAGCATTTTTGAGTTATATTTCGAAAACTGGAAAATCCCCCTTTTTTAATGAATAAAAATTCCATAACTCGGAAACATAAAAACTAAAATTTATAAAAATCGAAAGGGAGCTCAGGTCAATAGATATAAAAAAATTCACCGAAGTTTCATGCAAATTGGTAAGAGCATTTTTGAGTTATTATCCAACATGTTGACAAGGGATGGACGGACAGACACCTGGACAAACAAAGGTATTGACGAACATATGAACAGACAAACAGGATGATTCATTAGAATAAACCACCCAAAAAACTTTGTTTGAAGTGAGTATACTTTAACACATTACTTAGCTCGAGAGTATCTAAATTGTACCTATTTTGACAGTTTTTACCTTGGTTTATTTATGAAACACAAAAGTCTCCATTCTGCGATTATTTTGTAAATGTATGTATAGTTCTAATTTGAACTAGAATCCATTCTGAATCATAGAAAAAAGGATTTGAAACGACCTCCCAAATTAAAGACATTCTTTGAACTACAAATTCATAAAAATAGAATAACTGATGACTTTTTTTCTCCACTTTTTTGGAACAATTTGACATTAATTTAATCTATGGTTATTATAAATTTTGAAAGAAATGGATGCCTGAGACATATTTTAATGCTCATTTTAAATAACTTTTTTTAGAAATTGCTTGTGTCATTACTATAAATTCTATTTCTTTCATCTGTTGATAATATAATGTGACTGTTTTGTGTATCTTTATGTAAATTTAAGATGTCAGTTGCTTTTTTACAAAATGGGTACAACTTGAGTACAGTGACTAATTACATTTATAACATTAATGTATACCAAATGTACTGCACCATTTGCACATTTAAATATTTAAAGTCTCTGTAGTAATGCTCATATCCAAGCTATTTAGAAATCAGAAACCTAATACAAATTCGAAAAACCTGATAAAACTGAAAAGGACCACATAGTGTAGCCAAGTCCCTACAAAAATCAGAGGTCAATAGATCGACAATAAATTGATTGATTAATTAATGGTTGCTTAAAGTCATATGAAACAAGTTCTTATAAATTTAATGTTTTCGAAATTATTGAACCAATGCATGCATCTATACTAAACTAAGTCCTGTATGCACGTTTTTTATAATAATTATTATCGAAAAATAATATTTCATTCAGTGATTGTTGATATCAAGCTAATTAAATTTTGAGTTAGTTGCCAAAGTTTACCTAATCATGGCATTGATAAACAATCAACACAAAGCAAAAGGAGCACGTGACAAATACGTAAAGTGAAAGAGCCATGATATTTGTTTTTTTACATTTTCCATGCCTTCCCATTTTTTACTGAAACTTTTCCTAAACAGTTGTTAAATGGTTTGTTGTATTAGATTTGTTCTTTCATATTCAGTTATTTTTACTATTTATCTTCCAGTACACGTTTGTTTACATTCTATCATCACGTTTTTCCCCTCACACTTAAGTGGTGGCCGAAGTTCTAACGAGAGGTCATGAAGTTAAGGACACTGCATATGGGAAAATATCGGCGAATTAGTATATAGGAATGCAATAATTCAATATCAGTATATTTATGAAAAATTAGATGATATAAAGGATTTTCTTTTACACGAAAGTAACATACACTTGACTGTTATATAGTAACACTTAGCCATTAAAGTATATAAAACATATTCAATTTTTTTTTTAATTTGAAGTTTCATATGACTTTAATGTCCATTAAATATTACATGCATAATCAGGACTATAACAAGTTAACAAGTAAATATTAATATACAGTGTTATATAGTAGACTGATACCCTGAGTCTAATTCACAACATCCTAGCTCAAAACTAACACTGCAGACAGGAAGCCATATCACCCTATCATGACACATTATACTCCAAGCCTTTACCATTCTTTGCGCTAACTCCTAAATGCTGTATGCTTGGCTAAAAAGCAGCAATAAACAATTCTAAAGTTTTTTTATTTAACTCAACCTGGGATCAAACCCACTAGCCCAAACACTTGAGGCATGCACAGAAGGATGAGATCATTGAGATGGCTAACTAGCAATAAAACCTACTCTCCTATTAGAGGTATAGAGTCTGGAAACATCCTCTTGAAAAAATCCATCACATCGTCTTCAGTCTTTACTTGATTAAAATTTTCAAATGGCATAAATAATGTTAAGGTATATGATTTGTCCAGGTTCGGCAAAGCTATCATCATGAATTCATTCCTTGGCCAAATATGAAGGTAGTTCACTCCCATGGCAAACTGAAATAAAAAAATAAAAAGAATTCAGATATTTATATATTTATCTTTTTTTTTTTGTATTTTAATATTTTAATAAGACTGTTGTTAAACCTAAGTACTTAATTTTTTAAATTTATCATAATGATCAAAATTTAAGGAAAAAGAGATCAAAGTATCATGATGCTCCTAAATCCATAATGGTTCACCTCAAGTTTTTGTTGTGGTTCCTGTTTCTCAATTTTGAATTTTATGTCTTGTATTACAACACCAGTTTCTGGTGCATGTCAAAACATGGAGTGAAATAAAATAGTCCATTTTTTTCTAAATTTTTTTCTGGACTCAATTTTTTCTGTTTGATTAAAAGTTTATGCTGAATTGAAACATATGTTTAAATTTAAAAAAAATCTTGCATCTTTTTGGGGATATCAAACCAGGAAAGTGGAAGGATATCATGAAGTGGTGCGGCCTAGTAAAAACAGCAAACAGAAAGTAGAAAAAATTAGTTTTGACTTCAGGGTTACTTAACTTTTTATTCTTCGTGGCATGACCCACTTTTTTTTCTCGATTATATCACAATTTTACATACCATACTACATACATGATATGCACATGAAAAAAATTTTCTATGTAGCATTTTATTTTAAAAAAATTTCAAAGATCAGCTGTTTTGCATGTAAGCCTATGGAGCAGTCAATTACAAGACTGCAACCTGTAATGTCTTGCTATATTGTTGTTCAATTTTTTATTGTTCTTCTTTTTGGTGATGGTGTTGTCTATTTTTATTGAAATCATGATATATGATTGCACCTTTGGTATCTGCTTTTTAAAAAATTGGATGCTAATGGATGAATTGTTAATCTCATATAACCATTTTGTGTTTCAGACTTACATCATTCGATGACGTGGGAGGAATTGTTAACTCCATATAACCGTGAGGTATATATTCCTGGTTGTAATCCAATAATGTATCTTTCATCATCTGACGTCTAATGGCAGAGAAAGCTCCGTCATTTCCAACAATAAGATCTACTTTATTTTTAACTTCTTTGCCTTCCTTGCTAATGAAAAATATATGGAAAAGAAAAAATTAAGAAAGTTCTAAGAAATGAATATTAATTTGACAGAGCAAGGGAATGGATATCTAGTGGTGAGAGTCTGCCCCCTTAATCAGACATTTTTTTTAAAACCAATAAAATTACATACATTGTGGATTCTTAATTTCATGGGAACGAATTTTTGTGGATTGCAGAATTTATTTTTTTTTAAAACATATTTGATATCTTGGTTCTGCCAAATTCTGTATAAAAGCCAGTAGATATTAATAATGCCTAAACAAGATTTTGTGAGGTAGACAAAGTTGACCTTAAAACGATCATATTGACTTTTGATGTCCAAAAATAGGCAGATCGGACATATTTTGACTTTATTTACTGACAACTTTAGTTTGAGATTAATTGTAATTATAACATCACAATGAGACTGAAAAATGTTTTTTTTTGTTTGTTAAGATAAACCATAATTTTACCTGGCGTAGCCGTGCGTAAAATGTATTTCGGCATTTCTCTTCGAAAAATGACTTGTTTAATGGAATAAAACATCTTATTTGTAAACTTTCTCTTTTTTCTCCGCAATAGGCATTTAAAAAATAATATATCTACTGTGTATGTGGAAAATTTTGTGAAAATATAAGAAGTGGCAATATTTACCTTTCATACCTTTAGTTGCATTGTTAAAACATAATTTGGACTCGTCCAGTGTCCAGTTTGAAGGTCATTTAAGTAACTGTGCGCATTCATGCACGTTCTGATTTAATCAATATACATGTATGAAAAAATAAACAGTTTGAAGGTAAACTAATAATAACTTAATCCAATCAAATTGCGTAAGATTCCATAACAATGACCGGTCCACATCATGATAAGTAATAGGGGTAAACTGGGAAGGGAGAAAATGACAGATATTTTAAGTTCAATTTTTTGCAATAACGAATAAAAATTTGTCAACCAAAAGTTTCGCTATAATTTCAAAAACATGTCGTTCTGTATTGGTATAGTTTTTGGATCTTTCATTTGAGTATTTAAGGCAAAGTTTGGGCTTCAAAAGTCTACATAATTATTGACTTTATACTGAAAATTTCATTTCAAATTTTAATAGCATTATTTTTATGCAGCATTCCCTGAAATAGCAATAATTCATCTCACATTTTTTTCCATTGTTTATCGATTGCAATTATAAGTACAAACAATTCTAAAGCTACAGTATAACTTTTGAATTCTGTTCTTTAGTGTCTGTCTTGTGTTTTACAATTTTCTGTTTCATTGAAGTTTATCTATCTTCATTTATTCATATATATGAAAGGTATTTGTATATATACTTTAAATCAGCCAATAAGGATAAAGTTAAAGTAATATGCTTATTCCAAGTCAAAAATTTGTTTAAAGCGTAAAAATTTCATCAGAGAACCAGAATATGTGTGCAAAGGACACTATGCCCCAATCGCACTATCACATTTCCTTGTTCAGTAAACTGCAAAATTTCAGTCAAAACCCTTATTTGGCATATATACATATTAAACAGTTCACTTCTTATTGAAAAAGAAAACCATGTTTTATGTTGATATGACCACAAACTGCCTATACCTGAACTTTAACCTGAAATTGGACAGACAGACAAATGGATAGACAGTTTAACAAACCGGAAAACATATTGCCCCTCTGATATTGTAGGCTGTGCATAAAAATAAAACTGAAAACAAATTTACAAAAAAGGTTGAGAAAAAAAAGTAAACTGAAAAAAAATTAACAAAAAAAGTTGGGAAAAAAAATAAAAACAGAAAAAACTGACAAAGATAACAACAATCCAACACACTACAGACTCTTGACATTTGTAAGTACTAAGCCAGCCTCTTGCAAAAAAATAAAAATAAAATGGAAAACAACACGTTATAAATTACATGCTTCAGAAGCGCTTTTCTGGATTTACCTTCATCCAGCCTCTTGCAACAATCCATTTATATGGACTTACCACATGTGGTCTCTGTTTTCTGTTGTAGAAATAACCAAACTTATAAAAAAACAATATATATATCTTTTCCAGTCAAATTTGGATAACCATAATTAGTTTCAATAAAAAGAAAATGCAACTAATGCTTTTAATTCTTTCTAAAATTTACTTACGTCAAAAAGGTCAATTCACCAGTATTAAAATCACACTTCAAAAGCTTGTGGTTGAAGTGACAGGTGACCAGAGGGTTTCTCTCTGCAGCTGGAATAATAAGCTTTATTACAAACAGAACCATATAAGAGGGTATGGATGGGGTTTACAGGTTTACAGAATAGAGAATAATGCCCCCAGATAAGAGAAAAATGGACGAAAAAAATAATAAGAGTCATAATTGGAACACTGAAATTGCAGATGAATAATAAAGAATATAATTTTTATAGAATTGAAATTATAGAAATTCTATAAAAATTATATTCATTCCATACTAAAGTTGGGAGGATGATACCTGGTTAATTTCATGGAGAAATGCCATTTTTGATGTCATTCTGACATCACAAGTATGTCATAATCAAACAAAAAATAACAAGAGGGGATTCTTCAAAAAATAGTATTTTTCGGTTAAAACTGAATATGAGCATGGTTTTTTTTAAGACAAAGTTAGTCAGAATAATAAGTAAAGTTACTGCATATCAATGGGGAGACCTCAATAAGAGGCTCTCAAGAGCCTGAATCGCTCACCTGTATTTCAGAGGAGAAGATTTTTAAATGTCAGCAAACTTGATGAACAAATTGTGTAAAATTGTCTTTAAAGGGCAATAACTCCTTAAGGGGTCAATTGACAATTATGGTCATATTAACTTTTTTGTAGATCTTACTTTGCTGAACATTACTGCTGCTTACAGTTTATATATATCTATAATAATATTCAAAATAATAACAAAAAACTGCAAAATTTTGTTAAAACTACCAATTCGGTGGCAGCAACCCAACAATGGGTTGTTCGATTTGTCTGAAAATTTCAGTGCAGATAGATCTTGACCAATTAAACAATTTTACCCCTGTCACATTTGCTCTAAAAGATTTAGTTTTTGAGATATAAGCCAAAAACTGCATTTGACCCTTATGTTCTATTTTTAGCCATGGTGGCCATGTTTGTCGATGGATACAAACTTCGGATACAATTTATAAACAAGATACCCTAAGGAACATTTAATTTAAGTTTGAAGGTAATTGGCCCAGTAGTTTCAGAGGAGAAGATTTTTAAATGTTAGCAAACTTGATGAACAAATTGTGTAAAATTGTCTTTAAAGGGCAATAACTCCTTAAGGGGTCAATTGACAATTATGGTCATATTAACTTTTTTGTAGATCTTACTTTGCTGAACATTATTGCTGCTTACAGTTTATATATATCTATAATAATATTCAAAATAATAACAAAAAACTGCAAAATTTTGTTAAAACTACCAATTCGGTGGCAGCAACCCAACAATGGGTTGTTCGATTTGTCTGAAAATTTCAGTGCAGATAGATCTTGACCAATTAAACAATTTTACCCCTGTCACATTTGCTCTAAAAGATTTAGTTTTTGAGATATAAGCCAAAAACTGCATTTGACCCTTATGTTCTATTTTTAGCCATGGTGGCCATGTTTGTCGATGGATACAAACTTCGGATACAATTTATAAACAAGATACCCTAAGGAACATTTAGTTTAAGTTTGAAGGTAATTGGCCCAGTAGTTTCAGAGGAGAAGATTTTTAAATGTTAGCAAACTTGATGAACAAATTGTGTAAAATTGTCTTTAAAGGGCAATAACTCCTTAAGGGGTCAATTGACAATTATGGTCATATTAACTTTTTTGTAGATCTTACTTTGCTGAACATTATTGCTGCTTACAGTTTATATATATCTATAATAATATTCAAAATAATAACAAAAAAACTGCAAAATTTTGTTAAAACTACCAATTCGGTGGCAGCAACCCAACAATGGGTTGTTCGATTCGTCTGAAAATTTCAGAGCTGATAGATCTTGACCAATTGAACAATTTTACCCCTGTGTCAGATTTGCTCTAAAAGCTTTAGTTTTTGAGATATAAGCCAAAACTGCATTTGACCCCTATGTTCTATTTTTAGCCATGGCGGCCATGTTTGTCGATGGATCAAAACTTCGGATACAATTTATAAACTAGATAACCTAAGGAACATTTATTTAAAGTTTGAAGGTATTTGGCCCAGTAGTTTCAGAGGAGAAGATTTTTGAAATAGTTTACGACGACAGACGACAACAGACAACGGAAGCCAAGTGATGGCATAAGCTCACATGGGGCCCTTCGAGCCCTGGTGAGCTAAAAAGGGGAGACTAGTTTGGTAGTTTTAGGTTTTTTCCATAAATGCATGAAGTTTGAAGGCTTAAATGAAATATGTAAGGCAAAACCTTAATATAACAGATAATTTTCAGAACAGTTAAAGTTAATAGATTTATACCACTTGGTATTTTTAAATTTAAGGAGCATAAAACGTGCCTTATCATACTCCATTCTTAAGAGAAAAATATTGTACAGTAATCTCCAGTCTGATTATCTCCCTTGTTTCCTAATGTTTTCTTTTTTATGAGCCTGATTATCTCCCTTGTCTCCTAACGTTTTCTTTTTTATGAGCCATGGTTGTGTTTATTTTGGCTTATACATGTTGCTAAATAACTTTGGGCATGGGTTCCTCATACATTCAGTTTGAAACTGACTGCAACACACAGTCACAACAAATTTTTCCTATAATCACAGTGATCAAAAGCAATCTATATTCAATAACATACCTGTCAGTAGGACTTCATTTAATAACCTTCTGTCAACAGAATTGATAAACTGCAAAATTTAAAGTTTATTAAATATTTTAAATGAATTTACCATCATTAAGCCGTGTTATTTTGATTGTGCATTATTCAATGTGTCCTGTTTTACAGATGTTTTAACAAATTTACTTCAACTTATTACGTTGGTTTGATTTTTTTTTTGCATATACACATTGTATTCATGTTGTTTTTTTTTTTTAAAAAGAGATGACTGAATACTCATTAAACTACTATCTTCCCTACAATATGTGAAAAGTGCATAGCTTCAGTGGTTGTTGCTAGTCTCTTTCTGTTTACCAGGAATAATTCAGTTTCTTCCACCAGACGATTTACAGCATTGGAACTGTATAAATATACACAATGAAATTAAACTAACTTGAATAAATGCCCTAAGCAGACATATACAGATAGGACACTGAACCCTTTCCATGAAATTTCACTACACTTTCCTGTCTCTCCTTAACTATTGCCATCAGAAGCCCTGACCAAAACCAGTGATAAAAACACAACCCACCCTCACATGGATACTTGTTTTTAAATGATGTGATAGTCCTTATGAGAATAGATCATAATTCTACCTTGTTTTCAACAGTATATTAAACCTCATCCTTTCAAAGAGTGTGAACTCAACCACCCTTGCAACCTGACAAATACCTGATCACTCTTTCCATATGGTATTGGATGGCAAGTACCATCTAAATCATGGATCATTCTGGCATGCATTGGAATAGCAGTCTTTAGAACCTCGACTTCAAGTCCAACGTGCTTTAAAGCTTCTCTCCCTCGACAGGACAAAGCCAGATTTATGCTTCGTCCTTTCACAACCTCAATTGTACGTATATCTAAAATATACAAAACAATGTGACATTGTAAACCTTAAAAAAAAAACATTAATACAAATGATAGACTGTGAAACTGAGGTCAGGTGTTTAGACCTCAGATCAGGATGTTTTTTATCAACATTTTTTTGGTCCTAAATGTAACCATCTAATTTCAAAAGTGTCTTTTTTGTGTATTTTTTCTTCAATCTTCCAACTGAATACGAAATATCAATGTGTTTAGAGTATCCTTGTAGCATTTCTAGTTGAATGATATCAGTTGAAAGAATAATTGAGAAGATTCTGTTTCTGGTTTTGTTTTTCATTGTTAATTGTTGATTGCTTGTGAATAAAGTTCTATAATTTAACTTTCCTTTGAGTACAAAGAGAAAACTACTGTATTTAGATATAAGAAGATGTGGTATGAGTGCCAATGAAACAACTCTCCATCCAAGTCACAATTTGTAAAAGTAAACCATTATAGGTCAAAGTACGGCCTTCAACACGGGGCCTTGGCTCACACTGAACAGCAAGCTATAAAGGGCCCCCAAAATGACTAGTGTAAAACCATTCAAACAGGAAAACCAACGGTCTAATCTATATAAAAAACGAGAAATGAGAAACACTTATGAACCACATGGAAAATATGGATAAAGAAATGTGAATAATAAATCAGAAAAAGTATAAAAATAAATGATGTAATCTTAAAATCTGTATAACACAGTATATTATCTCATTTTCATGTTTTTGCAGTGGTATATGAATAAAAGTAGATGTGGGGTATTCCTCAAAGAGACAGCAACCTAGTGACACAAACAACCAAAAGACATCCAGTAAATATGTACATTTGTCTACATTCAACTATTGGTAGTTAATGATCATAATGTGGACTGGCAAATACTGGCAACTGGTAATTGGCGATCAAAGACCATCTGCTAATAACTGGCATTACTTTTAAATCCAATATTGTGTTTCAGATGAAATTTTCGTTATTTGAATTTTTGCAATGATTGCGAATTTTTAAATTAATAAATAGTGCTACAAAAAAATTTGGTGCTATCAACAACAAAAAATAATTGTATGATTGTGGAATACCAAAGAACTTTCAGAATGAAAAAAAATTACCCTACAAGAAGGAGTAGATTATAAGTATATTAATATGACGTGACATTTTCTCAATTGGCCCTTCAATGAAATGGCAACCCAATGAAATATCAATTCAGACAAATAAAAAATTTAAATCCATATCATGGAACTACTATATCTCTAATTACTTGTCCTTAAATGTGTCCCTTAGTTTATTACATTGTACATCTTAAAATGTTTTGAACCATACCGTCTCTCATTTCGTATAAATCCACTTTATATTTCCTCTTGGCAAAAAAGCAAGCATTCAGGGATCCTACCTATAAAAAATTCATTTATACAATTAACAATGATTATTAAAACATTTAAAACAATCATATACATACATTCATGACATTTAAACATTATAAAATATCATATACACAATTAAACATTATAAAAAAATCATTTATACAATTAAACATTATAAAATAGCACCTTGTGAGTACATTTTACTTGATTTGTAATTGTGACCAGGTGACGGGATTGCTTCCCTTAGTCAATGTGGTAGATACTTAGTCAGCCGTAAGCGTTTGAGCTAAGGAAGTACTTCTTTACCTCAGTCAGTATGAGCGCTGCCTTGTAACACAGAGGTCCCAGGTTCGAGTCCCGATGGAGACAAGCGATTTTGTAATGAAAATCATGCTCTCCGGTTACATTGGCGCACAACTAAAATACCCACGGTGGTTAGAGAGGAATTCTAGCTAGGGTATGTGTGTGAGAGTCATAATGGTATGCTGTAAATGTAAATGTAAATCATGCTCTCCGGTTACATAATAAAATACATTGTTGTAGTTGTATAAGCTTTAACATTTTCCTTTAATATTACTGTTATAGCTTTTATTTGTATTTGATCCTTATTTTTTTTTGGAGTTATGTAATTTTATTATAGATCAATATGTGACACTTAAATAAACTATTATTTATCTTATCTTAGGCCACGACAATTTAATTCCTTGTTCGATGGACCCACCCGCACATATTCTTTTCTAAATGGAAAAAATATTTTTAAATATTTCCACTTCCCGCATCCGGAAAAGTAATTGTGTCTATTTCCCACGCCGGTATTTTTGTAAACAGCGATCGCCAAACGTCTAAACTGTTTCGCGCATTAACAAAGATTTCTGATCAACATGATCAAAGTCAAGGATGATTATTCTCAAAATCATGCCTATTTTCGTTGTTAGAATAAAAGAATTCGAAATTTGAAGGAGATATATGTGCTAATACAGACATCTTTAAGCAAAACTATCCATACCCTCTGCATTTTAAAGTCAGGAGCCTGTTGTTCAGTAGTTGTCGTTTTTTGCAAATGTTGGTGTGGTTCATAGGTGTTTCTCATTTTGTATATAGATTTGACCGTTGATTTTCCTGTTTGAAATGTTTTCCACTAGTCATTTTGGGGCCCTTTATAGCTTGCTGTTCCGTGTGAGACAAGGCTTTGTGTTGAAGGCCGTACTTGGACCCATAATTGTTAACTTTAAATACATTGTGACCTGGATGGAGAGTTGTCTCATTGGCACTCATACCACATCTTATTTATACTGTATACAAAGTGCCAAAAAGACAAAGAACAAAAATGAGAACACCAAAATGACTGAGACACAGACAACCAACATATAACACAAAAAACTAAAAAGTACACACATCAACGAACAGCATGAACCCCTAAAAACTGGGGGTGAACTCAGGTGTTCTGGGAGAGGATGAGCAGTTCCTGCTTCTTGCAAGACACCCGCCATGTTGCTAGTTATAAGTCATGTCCAGCGAATAATCTTCAATAATTGCAGGATCGCTAGAAACTGAAAGAAGACGAAGGAGGAAAGACATCTATGACAATTCAATGGAGATCATTTAAGGCAGTTGAAATAATTATTCAATTATTCAGTTCAGGATCTGATGTCCCTAGAAAGTAACAGTAATACAAGAAGTCATAAATATGCTGCAATTAAAAGTGGGCATTACATGTCTTGGTGAACAGGGGAAAAACACTTCAGCAGTTGATAAATGAAAGAAATGTCAAAGTACAAGTAGTAAATCAAGTTTCATACCATCTTGTTTCGATCAATATTGTCAACACCTATGATTTTATGTTTACAAAAAAATATAATCGCTCGCCTTTACTTTTCAAGCTTCGCCTCAAAAATTTGCAAATTAAATTTTTTTTCATTAATTTTATTTTCTGGAGTGGAAAAATTCGTAGAACAAGAAATTAAATTGGTGAGGCCTTATCTTATCTGATATCTCTTCTGAAATATGGGGAAGTTAAACAAAAATGAGATCTGAATTATGTTTTTATCGATGTTTGTATAAGATTACTTAAAATACATGTATTTCCATGATAAAATACTTAATCAATAAACTTCAAATATCTTTACTTTAGTGATATATGAGGATCTGAGAGTTTTTAAAAAATGTGAATAAATTGTAGCCGTTGAAAAAATTAAAAAGCAGAGAAATATGTGTAAGGAAAAATGGGGTGCTTAAATATAAAGAATAGTGAATAATGTGTAAAAAATTGAATACAGAAATTGTGTAAAAAATATAAGGATATAGTAATGAAGACCATCTCATCAAGACCATCAAATATACAATTTTCCACTTCTATAAATTGTTTCCTGTAAGTGTCAGCTAGTTCTTTTTGATTTAATCATCCTTCAAAAAAATTCTTGGTTAAATCAAAATGACTGTTTCTAAGTAAATAGCAATCTTTGACTAAAGAAGGTGAAATGTTAAATTAATATACAGAATAAATAACTTGTTTTAAAATCAGATTTGTTTTTCAAACTGTTATTCAACAGACCGATGTTAAAATATTGCATGTGTCTAATTAGCTCATCATGGGACAATATAATCACATGTACTGTTTAAATTAAAGTGTCATACAGTCTGTTGATTGAACTAGTGGATAACATAATTTCTGACATGTACAAAATAAATGTTCTGACCACTGTGAAAAGTTTTTTTTTCATTTTACATGTTTTATAACAGGTCTGATATTCTATTAAAAAATCTTTGCACACAAAAAATGTAATATCCAAATCAATTAGTGATGACTTACCAAACCCCCACCAACAACGGCTACATGTTTCATTTGTTCACCAGACATGCTAATTCTGACTGTCAACTTCTGCAAACTATTTTAAAAGCATGTGAAAAATAGTGTCAAGGTCATTTTTGTTGACAAGCTCACTGATTGGTGTATTGTAGCACATCCTTCTTTCTTTGTATGTTTTTGGATATACTAGTTTTTCGCTAATTTATACAACAATTTCTTCTTATTATTGTGCAATATTTAATTCAGCTGTTATGAACCCGTGTTTCATCTTTCCAAATTTATATTTCAATAAAATACAGCAGCAACAGTTATTCCGCGAAAAGGGGAATAACTCTTTAACTTCCTCCTGGACCATTCTTTGTATAAATAAACAGGTATAAAGAATGGGTAAAAATAACTATTTTTTTCAAAATTAAATAGATTGATTATCAAAAGGATTCAGATTTACATCATTTATAGCAACAACTTTCGGTTGATTGAAAATGGCACACAAAAATTATATTTTTTATGAGATTGTAATGGAGTGCTCCCTAATATTTATACGTCGCCATGATACGGACTACGTCACGGGCACCTGTTTCCTGTAACGTGCATTCCAACTACTGTGAAAAAGTCTTCGGAGCATGAATCTTTATAATTGTTTTTAGTGAATTCGTTGTGATTTATTTAAAAGAAACATAATTGGTTTGCAGTAAGTAAAATTATATGGAAATTTTCAACTGTATGCATGTTCAAATATTTGCGAAAAAAGTTTGAGTTTGATCAATCTTGAACTTTCATTTAACAATAAAACCCTTGGTGTATATATGTATAAGATATTTTAACTGGATGTGTACAACCCCCTAATTAGGGAATAATTCACCGAATGAGCAACTATTCCTCATATGTTTCCACTGTTTCCAATATTAAAAGAAAATCTTTAAATCCACATTTTTATACCTTAATTATTAAAGTTTTGTATTGGCCAATCAAGGATTCTCAAGGGGCATTTATTCAAAATATTGCAGTTACAAGTCATTAAAAAATTTGTTATTAATAGTAAAAACACTAAGATTTGAAAAAAAACAATATTTAACAATTTTAGAATATTTAGATTGATAGTTTAATGCTCATAATCATTTGGGGAATGATTGGTGGGCGGTAGGTCTTTTCACCACCGAACACCGCCGAACACCACTGAACACATTAAAATACCATCTAACACGCCTAAATATATTGTTTTCATCTTTATTTATATATTTGACTTACTTCTGGACGAGGATGAATATGTTTATACATATATATACACAAATTAATAAGAAATGATAACAAGAGAACCAAAAAGAACAGTCTTGCAGGGCTGTTGTCAGAACAGAACTGACACTTTAAAGTCTAACATTTTTTTATACACATGTATATAATTTAATATTGTGATAATTTCACATTAAATAAAATGTTTTAACTTATTTGAACAATTTATTTCTAATAATTGAAAAATAAAGACCATAAGATAATATACAATGAAATACAGACAATGTAAATCCGGAAAAAAAAAATGCTGGATCTGGAAGTGATTCTCAACTTTAACATCACTAATGCACATAAAAATGTGAAAAAAACATGACAGCAGGATTAAATTTTACGTAATTTAATTGATTTTATTGTTTTAAAATTTTACATTACTGTTTTTATTAAGGGTTAGTGGTCTTTTGGGGTGATTCGGTGGTGTTCGGTGGTGAAAAGACCGACCCGTTTGGTGGGTTGCCCAACCTAATGATTACCAGAAACACTTGAAGCACATTTTGGAAACAAATCGTGTACAGACGTGGGATAATAATACCTCAGATGAGGAGTTATCTCTTTAAAGAGAAGGACATTGGAGGTTTAGCTTATGTACAGTAGCTATAAAACCAGGTTTTACCCATGGCCACCATTTTTTTATTAAATGTCTATACCAAGTCAAGAATATGACCTTTTTTCTTCACATGTTCTGTTGTTTGATAACAGTTGATTTTCACTTTTCATGGACTTCCCCTTTTTAAATTTACCTTGGAGTTCGGTAATTTTGTTATACTGTTTTATTTAACAAATTTGAATATCTTTTAAAATGCATACTACAATTTTTCCATCTGGACTTAAAATGTACCACAAGTTGCAAAAACAGTTAAATGATCATGAAGTTTTATAAATTTTCAAATATCTTAGTCATATAAATCTTTTCATATTTAACAATGTTTTAAGATGTTATTACTTAATTGTTCTTCCAGAATTTGAAAATATGCAACATTCACATGTGTACATGTATTGGGATTGTGGACTCTATAATACAAAGTCATAATTCAAAAATTATTCATTTGTGTTTTAAGTTTTTAAATTTTTATTTCATTAACAAAAACAGTTCCTTGTTAAAGAATTTGTCCTCGGCCTAATTAAGAATCATGAGAATGTTGGAGGACAAAATTAATTTTTCAAATACAGTCAAAATATATTTATATGTTTAAAGATCTATATCATCTTAACTTAAGCATGTAAAGGAGCAATAGATTTTTTCCAAACTTTCATATCTTTAAAATGAACTGACATCAAAGAATTTGAAATACTTTAAAAATGTATCTTTTTGATTAAGCATAAATGTCTTTTTTACACCAATGGATTTTTTTGTTATCCCAGCCTTAATTTGCTTCTTGTTCAGTGTAAAATAATTTGAACAGTCGTAATATATATCTAACCTTGCAGTAATGATAATTAAGTAATTAAGTATGAAACAGTTAGTAGATAAAAGAAAAAAAACAACAGAAAATTAATCCCTGTCACTTTGTTTGATTAATTAATGAAACCAAAAAATCTATAGGAAATAGTAAATTGATGTGGACTGAAATTAAATGACTGTGGACTTATAGGGAAAAAAACCATTCAATTATATTAAGATAAGACAAGACTAGTCATGAATATTAGTTTATAACAACAACAAAGAAAGTAATAGGTAGTCTAGATGTTGTTAATTCATTAAGATAAATAGATATTTAATTATTCTCCCAGGAGTTTATGTCACTAAGAGTTTGTTATTTCTTCTACAGGTTTATCATCATTAGTTACAGAGTGATGGTATTGTAATCATGGGCTGTGGATCATCCAGAGTTAACCCCGATGGGGAAAAAGAAGCTGCCACACCCAGACCTAACCCAAACAAGAGCAGAAATGGATTAGTACCGAATGGAGAAACTAAAACATTTGATAAGAAGACAGCCGTGGATACTAATGCTAACATTCCCAGCCAAAAACCAGGTAGGACAGTGCATTTTGGCCTTTATTACATGCATTTCTAAAGTAAACAAATATATAGTTTCCTCATATCCTGTTTCTTGTAATAAGCCAATGGGTACTTTCAAATTACTGTTTGGGTAGCAGAATCAGTAGTTCAATTTGGTGTCTTCCTGTCCTTTTCTTTGAAAAAGAAATTCAAAAATTAAATAATAGAACATACATAGATGTAACAAACTTGAACCATCATGACCATAGGAAAAACTAAATACTTTCATATTAAATTGTTAGAAAATATAATACTTATGCATAGTCTTGCTTTGAAACAGAAGAAAAGCTCATACAAATAAAATTTATAATTTTTCTTATAATATCTGTACATTGTACCATGTGTATATTTTGACATAGATTGTAGATCTGCTACCATCAGCAACTTCTTAAAGGTACAGTTACTGATAATATGTAAAACAAAAACAACACTTATAGAATAACTAATCGAAGAATTCAAATAGAGAAAAATATTCAACGAGTGACCGAACAACACATTAATTCACGAATGCGCGTAGCGCATGAGTTAATTATCAGTGTTGTTCGGTCACGAGTTGAAAATTTTTCGATATTTGAATTCTTTGATTAGTTATTCTTTTAATCACATTGGCAAATGGCTTTTTTTATGAAATTAAAGTAGAAATGGTAAGGAACTATATCTTTTTCTACGCATTCACAATTTGTTTTGATCGATATTGACGTCTTGACAATGCCCATTGTTGTATGACGTCAGAGGAGTGAAATAACCACGTTTATTTCACATGTGAAATTATCGGTTTTTATTTCACTGGGAAATCAATGTAATTCATTGCAACCAATGTAATAATTATATATATTATAATGAGGATGCTTGTATACATTTTTGTACACATACTTTTTTAATTTGTTTGGAGGACATATGTAACAGATGTACATATATATACATGTATACTTTTTTTTTATAAAGATAAGACCGTTGGTTTTCCTGTTTGAATGGTTTACACTAGTCATTTTGGGGCCTTTCTAGCTTGCTGTTTGTGGTGAGCCAGGGCTCCATGTTGAAGGCCGTACTTTGACCTACATGTATAATGGTTTACTTTTACAAATTGTGACCTGGATGGAGAGTTGTCTCATTGGCACTTATATCGCATCTTCTTATTCTATTTATCCCTCTGCCAACATTTAAGAAATTCATTGTGATATGAACTCCATTGAAATCTTTTTATACATGTACATAGGAAATATTTGATAAACTTTGGAAACAATACTTTCACTATTTTCTGCTAAATATATAGTTTTTCTTGACTTTGGTAAAGTTTTATATTTGTCCAGTTTTTCCTTAGAATATTTTTAAAGGATTTAAGGGATTGACTGATAAGATAGTGGTCAGGAATTTTAAAGGATGGGGGAAAATATAAAGTAATATGTAGGAGGATATAAATAATGAATGGGGATACCCCTATGAATTAACCCTCCAAGAAAAACTCTGAAGTGACAAATCTCTGAAACCAATTATGATATGCATTTATCAGTTGAATACACTACATATGTAGATATGTATGAATATTATATAATAAGACCTAACCTTGGACTTGCATATGTTCAAATCCTTTTGTTCAAACACTCATTTGATTAAGACAGATAAATCATGAAGGTCTTTAACTTAACATCAAAAGGTCCAGGGCAAGGGGAAACCCTTAATCATTTATAGGAGGATTTAGGGGGGCATTAATGCTTAATGCATAGACTTATATTACTACATGTTCCACTCCTATAACTTTGAAAAATCCTGGATCCAAATCTGACATTTTAAAATTAAACATCATTTAATCTTGTCCATTCCTAAATTCTTTCAGCTTTTACAAGGAGCTTGGACAGGTAGCTTGTAAATTGTTTTTAACAAACAAGTTATATACTGACTTGTAATAAACTTTAAAGTTGCATATATACATAAACAAAAAGTAAAAATCAATTTTCTGTGCCATTTGATAATCTGAAGTTTACTATGTGAACCAAACAAAATTTCCGTTTTAATTAATTAAGAGATTTCATGTTGAAACAACCAGGTACCAAGTTGTATGGTTTATCACATGTAATTAAATCTGATCCCACAGCACCCCTAAACTCTGCCTCATTGAACAATCAATTAACAATTTATAGGTAAGGAAAGTGGTCAGGTAAAAAAATAATTAATTATTTATGTCACATCATATGAATGTTTGCATTTCGTTGCCATGTAAATAAAGTGATAATCTTATATACAACCACATTAAATAAAAAATCAAAAAGTTTATGATTTTCTGAAAAGAATAGAGTTAATTTGTATATCTTAAAAAAATCCACAGTTGTGTCGAACATTTTGTTTATTTGTTTATTTCCCATGCAGTCTTTTTGTGAAAATATTTCATAACCTCTATGTTTCTGAAACGAAATGCAATGAAGGTTTTTCTTTAATTGCTACTTATTTCATATGTTTGCTGTTAAATTGTGGCCTCAGAAAATATTTAGCATTAAACATTTGTATTTCAGAAAATTTGGCAGGTTTGTAGAATGAGCTCATATATAAGCACATAAGGAACTGAATATATTTTACATTTGTTTCAGTTCCAAAGTCTGTGGCTTTTGAAGTTTTATTGGATGAGCGTAAAACAGACAGTTTGATAAAGAAACATCCTCCAATGAGAATTCAGGTAACATATTATTTCTCAAATAATTAGGACATGTACCTACAGTCTACAGATCTGGTAAATTTTGTCAGTTGAACCGCAGGCGGAAGGTCATGGTTCTCTCACGGCAGTCTGGCTCTTTTACCCATAAGCAATAAAAACTTGTGGCCAAGATAAAGCCAATAGTGCTAAAAGTGGTGTTAAACACCATGAATAAATCAATCGCTTGATTAGGCAGCCCACTTCTCCCAACTGTAACCAAGACTTATACATTTCAACCTGTCCACTATGGGAGGCCACTCTAATTTACTAGATGTTGTGAAAACGTTGAATACAATAGCTTTACTACTTTTTCTAAGGAACATGTAATAAGTTGAGTCCAATTATTAGGGTGACAGAAAATGGCATTTTGTTTCCATAAATTAGCACAGGAAATTATCTCGAATTTTGTTCAAATGACAAAATTCACCTGTTCTGTATTTTAAAGGTTGCTAAGAGGTCACTGTCTACACATGTTGTCTTAAATCAACTTGATGGATCACTGTGTACAATTATAGTCATTGATTTGACAGAGAAGAATAAATTGATTTATAAAGAGGATGATTATGAACAAAAATGATAAACTGGTCTTAATATTAGTTACAACTAGCAAATTTCAATTTAAGGTAGTACCAAACACCTTGACTAAAATTAATTTGGCTCGTTTAATTTTCGTAAAATTTTGACAAAATATTTACTTTGACCCTTTGACAAAAATATAAAAATTTCCAAAAACTTGAATCACACACTATTGGAAAAATTTCATTGGATATATAGCAGTTTGACAAACACTAATTTTGATCATTCTTGACAATAGAACGTGATTAAAATGTTCAGCTGATTTTTACAGAGTTATCTCCCTGTAGTGTTATGTACCACCTTAAGAACATGTAGGTAAAACCACAAAATAATAAAAGCTGAAAGATATGTATAGGTCACTTTTTCAAACTACCAAATATGATAAGGTTGAGAAATTTTGATTAAATATAACGGGGGTTGCTGATAATATCAAAAGTATCTGAAACTACTGTAACGTTACCTACATTAAGGTTCAAAGTAACACTGAATAAAAGAAAGACTTTACAATATAAGTTCCCTATCAATGTCTGCACAATGTCACTTTATATAATCCTTGTTCCTCATATTTCCTGTTTCTTTTTATTTAGAAATTAGAACCTTTGAGCTTACCGATTCTTACTCCAGAAATGTTAGCAGAAAAACAGAGACTGGCTGATGAAAAACGAGAAAGGGTAAGATTGTTTTACTAAGTCTGAGCTTTAGAAAAATTGATACCAGTAAAAGGGAAGTAACTTATGTTTTGTAGTAAACATTTTAAAAATCAGTTTTGTGGAGTTATTTTATATTAATAAATGTTCCTATTACAAAAGTTACATAAAGTTCAGAAATGTTTTTTTTTTTTATTTATACAATAATACAAATTGTTACTTGGATGGAGAGTTGTCTCATTGGCATTCATACCACATCTTCTTATATCTATTAGAATATATCTCAAGTTATCCTCTTTTATTTGTATTATCTCCCAATTTCTCCTTGATCATTTTTCATTGTAAGTAATTATTTGTCCTTAGATTGAAAATATTTATAATTTTTCAAATATATTTCAGGATAAACAATGCACATATGGAATGTTAAGATTATTTTAAGCTAAAATCACATAGATATGAAATACTTCATTATTGTAGGCCCAAAAAGGGCCTAATAGCAACTCATTTTTTCCCTCTAGGAAATTTCTCCTGATGGAAATCTCTTGTTCAGAAAATTTTAGAAATCTTAATCAGAATGTTTATTATAGAAATTTTCTTATCAGTTATAAAAAACAGTATATATATAATAGCATTCACATTTTTGAAAGGAATTGCAAAAAAGAGCAAGTGCATCTAGAAAGAAGTCACAGAGAAGGAGAGAAATTCTGAAAGCTCAAGAAATAGCACAAGACTTACAGCAAAAGGAGGTAAGAGAAATAAGATATTTCTTTAATGAAGCCAAGTTTTATGAAATACCACCTTTGAAAGTAGAGGGCCATTATGTTTTCTAGTCTGCGTGTCAGATTCAAGATTTTGATTACGGTTAATGTTAAAGTTTCGGTTAAATGTAGTATTGGGTCACATCAACTTGGAACTCCGTACACATGCATGTTCCATATAAAGTGAACTATTTAAAATAAATGCTAAAGATGGAAATGTGATAGCTAGAGTAAAGCATAGTGTCATATATATGGACACACATTTTTATTGAGTTATTTCCTAACAAAAATTACAATAAAAAAAAAGCTCTCAAAGAAGTTTAAGTTCTATTTTATTTACTTTTGCACTTACTAAGAGGGAGAAAATAGAGTAAAGAAAACATCTATTACGTCTTACTGCATGTTTTGCATGGAAATTACAAACTTAAAAAAAAATCTTATTTGACCTCAGAAAATTCACCTTTTGATAACCGATTAACTTGTATGTAGTACAGTTATCTCCCATAGACAAAATATTCCTTATTAAGCCAAGAAAGATTACTAACTGTTTAACCTATAAAGGTATTATTTATATGCAGTAGAGTTATCTCCCATAGACAAAATATTTCCTTATTAACCTCAGAAAGTTGACTAACTGATTAACCTATAAAAGAGGGGCGAAAGATACCAGAGGGACATTCAAGGTATAACTTATATGCAGCAGAGTTATCTCCCATAGACAAAATATTTCCTTATTAACCTCAGAAAGTTTACAAACTGATTAACTATAAAGGTATTATTTATATGCAGCAGAGTTATCTCCCATAGACAAAATATTTCCTTATTAACCTCAGAAAGTTGACTAACTGATTAACTATAAAGGTATAACTTATATGCAACAGAGTTATCTCCCATAGACAAAATATTTCCTTATTAACCTCAGAAAGTTGACTAATTGATTAACCTATAAAGGTATTTATTAGGTCCGGGTACACAGTTATCGTCCTTTGATTTTCGTTGTCCACGAATATAGTCCCTAGTGTGGACAGTGTGTTACTTGTGGATTTTTTTTATACCCCTTCCAAATTTATTTCTCCATGTTTTATGACTCAAATAGTAAGTAGGGGGGTGAAATGACACTGTACAAAAATTGGGTCATGAATTTTAAAGTAAAGTAGTGATTTGGTCCAGCTGAAAAATGTTAAAAATTAGCACTTCGGAAGCTGTCAAAAGATTTGAAGACCCCCTTAACATGAAATTGTCCATATTTTGAGTTAGAGCAGATGAAGTTTTCTATAATTTTGATATAATTTGTCCCAAAAGTAGTACAACACACTGTAAAAATATTATTGAGAAAGCGCAGGTGGGATTTTTTTAATTTTCATTTATTGTCTAAAAGAAATGCACTACGAAATAACTGTGTACTTGGATCTAAGAGGTGAAATCAGGAAATATAGAATCTGTACTTTGGCAACTTCCCTGAATGATTTGATGGTGTCAATTTATCAAATAGCATAAAACTAAAGGATTTAAACTTTTATTTGATAGAATTTCTGCAAAAATGACCAATTTTGGCATTTTATGGTCAAAATAAGCATTTCATAGCTTTTTCAATTTTGATGCATAAGTGGCATTCTGACTTTCTATCTGACAGGTTTTTATGTGTCAATATTTGTGTTTCTATGCTTCAATCCAGTTGTATTACTCATTTGTGAACTCTGAATCTACAGAAAAGAAGATTATCTCAGACAATATGTGCAAAATGTGTTGTATATATGATCCTCGTCTAACGCCCTGTTTGGATCAAGTTAAATGTGAGGAGCTTGGAACATAAAAGTTGAAGTCCATTATAAAGACCTCACTAAATTTGTATAAAAAGCACTTAACAATGTCTTTTGTACCTGTTTTATGTCACATAATATCTTTCTTTTCTTCTGTAGGATAGCAAGTAGTTCAAATATATGCCTGTTGAGACTAAAATTGCATGCATGTTTTTCACTAAAAAGTGAAAAATCTTTGTATCAGACCATACTGTCTGCAAACAAGTTTAATGCAAGAGTCTTTTTGTGCTCAGATTTATTGTATCATGTCACCTGAGTATAGAAATGATAGAAAAGACACAAAATTTTATTTCCTATAGCTTCAATATGCATTTTTAAATGTAAATATGTGATACGGCCTAAATTGACCCTAAATTATTTTCAGTCTTACTTGGCCTAAGACCCTTTTAAACTAATGTGATATGTTATTTGTAAGTTTTCTTTCCATTTAAAGTACATTAAATACATATGTAAGGATTATTTATAACCAAAAAGCTTTACAAATTAAAAATTGCTGGAAAATATTACATCTTCATGTAAGGCCCCCCTTCATTGGAAAACCTCCATTTTTAGCCACAGGCTCATATAAATTTGACTTTTTAATAATTATGATAAGTCTGATAAATCAAATGAGTACTCTATTGCTTTTAATACATAATATTTTATATATCAAGGCATTTCAAAAGTATTTTTTTGCAATATTTTAATTTTTTAAGCCCCAAATGTTGATAGTTGAAAAATTTCAATTTTAACGTCTAAATTTAACGCGCAAAGTTGTTTATAGAATTAGTCATATTGTCTATAATATATATCCTATTGCCATGAAACTTTGTAAGCAGTCTTATAATTTAATAAGCTTTGGTCATACCAAGTTTCATTAAGATTGGTCAACTTTTTCCACCCTATTAGGTCCGGGTACACAGTTATCGTCCTTTGATTTTCGTTGTCCACGAAAAATATAGTCCCTAGTGTGGACAGTGTGTTACTTGTCGATTTTTTTTATACCCCTTCCAAATTTATTTCTCCATGTTTTATGACTCAAATAGTAAGTAGGGGGGTGAAATGACACTGTAAAAAAATTGGGTCATGAATTTTAAAGTAAAGTAGTGATTTGGTCCAGCTGAAAAATGTTAAAAATTAGCACTTCGGAAGCTGTCAAATGATTTGAAGACCCCCTTAACATGAAATTGTCCATATTTTGAGTTAGAGCTGATGAAGTTTTCTATAATTTTGATATAATTTGTCCCAAAAGTAGTACAACACACTGTAAAAATATTATTGAGAAAGCGCAGGTGGGATTTTTTTAATTTTCATTTATTGTCTAAAAGAAATGCACTACGAAATAACTGTGTACTCGGACCACTTATATGCAACAAAGTTATCTCCCATAGACAAAATATTTCCTTTTAATCTCAGAAAGTTGACTAACTGATTACCATATAAAGGTATTACTTATATGCAGCAGAGTTATCTCCCATAGACAAAATATTATGAACAACATATTTCCTTATACGACCTCAGAAAGTTCACTATCAAACTTATTATCCTTTAAAGATATAACTGATATGTAGTAGAGTTATCTCCCATGGTAAAATTTTCCTTATACAACCTCATAAAGTTCACGTACTGATTAGTCTCTGAAGGTATAACTGATATGCAGTAGAGTTATCTCCCATAGACAAAATATTTCCCTTTAATCTCAGAAAGTTGACTAACTGATTACCATATAAAGGAATTACTTATATGCAGCAGAGTTATCTCCCATAGACAAAATATTTCCTTATTAACCTCAGAAAGTTGACTAACTGATTAACCTATAAATGTATAACTATTATGTAGTAGAGTTATCTCCCATAGACAAAATATTTCCTTTTAATCTCAGAAAGTTGACTAACTGATTACCATATAAAGGTATTACTTATATGGAGCAGAGTTATCTCCCATAGACAAAATATTATGAACAACATATTTCCTTATACGACCTCAGAAAGTTCACTATCAAACTTATTATCCTTTAAAGGTATAACTGATATGTAGTAGAGTTATCTCCCATGGTAAAATTTTCCTTATACAACCTCATAAAGTTCACTTACTGATTAGTCTCTGAAGGTATAACTGATATGCAGTAGAGTTATCTCCCATAGACAAAATATTTCCTTTTAATCTCAGAAAGTTGACTAACTGATTACCATATAAAGGTATTACTTATATGCAGCAGAGTTATCTCCCATAGACAAAATATTTCCTTATTAACCTCAGAAAGTTGACTAACTGATTAACCTATAAATGTATAAGTATTATGTAGTAGAGTTATCTCCCATAGTCAAATAATTTCCTTTTGATCTCAGAAAGTTGACTTACTGATTACCATATAAAGGTATTACTTATATGCAGCAGAATTATCTCCCATACTCAAAATATTTCCTTATTAACCTCAGAAAGTTGACTAACTGATTAACCTATAAATGTATAACTGATATGCAGCAGAGTTAACCCTATGAACAACATATTTCCTTATACGACCTCAGAAAGTTCACTATCAAATGTATTATCCTTTAAAGGTATAACTGATATGTAGTAGAGTTATCTCCCATGGTAAAATTTTCCTTATATGACCTCATATAAATGTTTAACTTAATTGTAGTAGAGTCATCTCCCATTGTTTAATTGAGTTAACATAGGTGCAATGAATAAACCATGTGCTACAAAATACCATTCAGATTTTTTTTTAAAAACCCATAAATTCAAGTATTAACAAAACTACAACTTTTCCTGAATCCCCAATTGGTACCCACAAAATTAAATGAATCCACAGTAAATATGTTAGTAATATTGAAATGAGAAGGAAATTCTGTAAACCAATCGATGCCCTTTCTAGTCAACTTGGTGGTGATATATATTTGTCATTTTCTAATTTTATTGTCCCACCTGCGCCGAAAAATCACAGAATGCAAGACAGGGATCACAATCTAGGGATAGCGTAAACTATTTGTATAAGCTTTATATTTCAGAAGGTATACTACCTTGATGCTTCATACCTTGTCTGCAGATGCCTTATGTTACAAAGTTTCTGTCTGTCTTATGACCATTTTCCTTGGACTCTTTTTTCTGGTTCAGCGACTGCTAATAAAAAAAATGTTTTTTTTTTGTCATGTGAGATAGAATGCTGATACATGCTGTTTATGGTTATACCTTTTATTAATTCCTTTCAGGTTCAGCAAGAGTTTTTAACTAGAGAAAAAACAGTAGAAAATTTAAGGTCTGCAAAATTAGCAGAAATACAAGAAAAACAAAGATTACAAGAAGAAAGAAGAAAAAGAACAAGAGAAAGGGTAAATTTATATTGTTTTTTTATGATTTTTTTTTTCTTTCTCTTTTGTACGATCACCGAAAAATGTATAATGATACGCACCAGTTCAGGTGGATTGTGCTTTAAATATCTTCCTCCTGTGTTTAGGAGCACATTAGCTTAAACTTATTTCTTATTATAGTTCAGGGGTTTATAAAATTCATTAATAAAAATTAGTCTGAATGAAAGGTCATAGCTTTATATTGATATTTGATTAATGATGAATGTTTAACAAATATAATGAAGATAAAACACGTTTTGTAAAATGAAAACATAAATTAAAATTTAAAATAATTTTTCAGCAAACACTTCACAATTGTGAATATTAGTTGGAAACTGGAATATGTTATCAAATTTAAAAAAAACCTCTAAATTTTAAAATTCAACCGAAATAGTTTGTTCCCGTCATGACCTGATTTTCCTGATTTTGAAGGTTTACAGGTTTGTTGAAGTACTAAGAAATATTTATTATACGAGTTCAGTTTACACAGGAAATAGGTTTCAATAGAAGTTTATCTCTCTTGATAATTTAGGCCAAGAAATTGAACCAAGAAGATCAACAGGAAGTAGGAATGTTGGAGGTTGAAAAAGACGACCATTATAATGCTGATGATGGTATGTATTGTTAGACTTTATTTTTAAATAGGGAATTATGGGGGAAGGAGGGGAATCAGAAATTGTGAAGTAGTAAGGATATGATGAATATGTCAGAATATACAGATAATATGTTCTGAACGAACTCTTATTTGTATATCGGGAGGGATGGTATTAATAACTTATTTGTAGCCTGCATATATACCATTGCTTATTTAATGTGTCAGCATCTTAATTAATTAACAATTCTTTATTCAAAAATTTATTTTTTATGATGCATAAAAATATTATTGTCGAGCCTGCATAATTTATTTCGCGAAAGCGAGACAAAGCGATCATAGATTCTGTCGTCGGCGTTGGTGGCTTCAACATTCAGATTAAGTCTGTTAAAGTTTTTCTGTCATCAATAACTTTGTCAAACCTTCATGGAATTTTATGAAATTTGGACAGAAGTTTGTTAATGACCAAAATACAGTATATATCCAGAGCAAAATTTTGAAAATATTTATTTTCATTTTTCCATATTTTGATGATAAATGAACTAAGTTTATTTTACAGTTAACAAGTAGATACAGTCTGGGGTTAAAGTATGACAGTTGTTGTCCATTCGTTTGTGCTTTTGATTTTGCCATTTGATTAGGGACTTTCCGTTTTGAATTTTCCTCGGAGTTCAGTATATTTGTGATTTAACTTTTTGTTACACATCAAATACTTTGTCAAACCTTCACAGAATTTTTTAAAACTTTGGCAGAAGCATTTTTATGATTAAGAGATAATATAATGTCTGATGCAAAGTTTTGAAAGTATATTTTCATTTTCAGTATTATTCTAATAGATGGACTAATTAGTTTTTTACAGTTAACATTTACACACAGTCTGGGATTAAAATTTTTTGACATGATAAATTTGTAAACCTTCATGGATTGTTATGAAACTTGGACAGAAGCTAATCTTCAAGACCAAGAAATAGCATCTAAAGAAAAAGTTTGAATTTTTTTTTAAATTCTGTATTTTACTGATAAATGGACTCACTTTTTAAGTCAACATTACACTTTTACACTGACAGCAGCAATCGTAGGGGAGACACAGGGTTCCAAGGAACCCTTTACGAATTTTTCTTTAAAAGTGTTAAAAATATCAAGGTTTCCTTCTTTCAAGATGCACCTTTTTATGAGTAGTCTTCTGAAATGAACATAACCAATTTTCTTCTGTAGATATTGTTGTATATAGTTCATGTACTACATGAATCAGAATCAAATAAAAAGATCTAGGAACAGTTTCTTTAAAAGATGACCCAGTTGTTTGCTAACAACTATAATTACTCGAGCTAATCAATCATTAACCCCTTTGTCATTATATTAGTTTATTCAAATGTAACAGCATTTTGTTAAGTATCACAGTTAAGGCAGTATGGGAGTATAAAGATTTATCATTTTATATTTCGTCAAAATGTTGTTTTGGAAATTTGAAGAATTGTACTAAAAGTATAGATCACTATGCTTATTTACAAGCTATAGGCTATATAAGAAAGGAATATGTTCAATAAAGCCCTAAGATGGCCCCTATTTCTAGCAAAAATTTCAAACTAGGATTTATTGACCAATATTACAATGAATCATAGCTAAAACAATGACTAGATAGGAAAAAGTTAGTAATTGTGTTCTATTCATGACTAGGGGCCTCGGTGGCCGAGCGGTCTAAGTAGTTACTACTGTAATCACTAGCCAGTCAACACTGAGGTTGTGAGTTCGAACCCCGCTCGTGCAGGTGCACTGGACTCCTATCTTAATTGACTAGGATAGTCAGTTTTCCTATCGAAGGTCGTGGTTTTCTCCGGGCACTCCGGCTTCCTCCACCAATAAAAACTTGCCGCCACAAAATAGCCCAAAAGCGGTGCTTAAAAGTGGCGTTAAAACACCAAAAATCAAAAATCAAATCTATTCATGACTCCACAGATAGTACTCATTTTGATTTTCCACGAAAATTAAATAAACATGGGTATATTTCTATTGATTTTTTAGACATGAAATTTCGAGTCATACATTAACAAAAAAGATCTTTTAACATAATGTTTGTTATGACATTTTACATATTTGACTTGAATGCTTAGTTTTTTTACATCTGCGCTATATGTTTCCTAGGCCTTAATTTGATTGAAATCTGGACAATTTTGTCAAATTTCTTTATAATCTCTATTTTTGACCTATTTGGGATGTAAAAATCAACACTTTGAAATAAAACTTTGACAAAAATTGTTCTATTTAACCTGTCACATGTCTTTTCATCAACTTTGAAAAAAAGAAGTCACCCAACATACCAACTTGTTATAGATTGCAATAGAGATAATTTTAAAGTACTTCCTTCCATTAATCTTCATTATCAGTGTTATCTCCCCTCAAAGGCTAATTTTGCCGCCATATAGCCTTTTTGTGCTGATGCGGCATAAAGCAATCACTAATCAATCAACAATCAAAGGCTAATTTTTAATAAATCAAAAGTTTTTCAATAAATTTGTAATTTATAAATAAATACCATAAGATAAAATTATGTGGATTTCTTTTTAAAAAAAAAGAACAAGAAATAAATTCCATATCTGCAGAACTTTTAATTCTTTTTAAGTAGAAATGTAAGGCAATCATAGCCATCCAAGATGGCAGACATTTCCATACTACCCAACCCAAAAATCTCCAATGAATCTGTAAATGGTTTTAATATTATGTATAAAGCAACTGAAAATAGAGAAATTTAACTAAATTAAAGCTCTAAAATATGATTTCAGCCAATAAACAATCTACCTTATTAAGGTAAGTTAACTTTTGACACAGTAACTATATTTTTTGTTTGTGACCTTCAGGAATTGTCAGAAAGATGCTTGACCTTGAATGTTTATGATATGTAAGTTATGGTTTCACAAGAATGGTCAGGTCAATATTAAAAATTTGCAACTTGATACACTTCCGGTGTAAATGTGACAAAAAGTCTGAGATTTTTATAAGATTTTTTTTCCAACTGCATTAAAAAAGTTTTATGTATTTGTCATGAATGTTTTTGCGCTGAATATTTTTTAACTTTGTCATAGAAGACAAATTTTCAAAAAAAATTCGATTTGATTTTAACAACTCTAGAAATTGCTGTGCCTAAGATATTGAACTTCATTAAGACATATATTTACATCAAGAAGCATTTTACCGTAACTCTGTAAGGATTTCAGATAATTTTAGGAGTAGTTTACAATTTTCTAGTTTTAGTTTATTTTTTATGTTTCCAGTGGCCATACATGTATTTTTCATCTCTATATATTCTTTATTTGCTTTTCATTTTTAAATTTTTTTTTCTGTGGGGGGTATATGGTATGAATTTGCGATCACTGCTAACAGTTTTCGAGTTTTGATAGGAATGGATTATAATTGTTTGATTTTTATTCTGTTCATTTGTTTACATGTTTATGGATAAAAGGAATGTTGGGTATATATATATATATAACCAATCAATGAGATATTGTTAAGTCATTTTCATAAACAATAATCTAAGATTGAATATTTAGGTATTTATTTTTTGTTTTAGTAAATAATTGGTGATTAATTAGTTTTAGGTGCTAAATGACAAAGAAGTTAGCAATAATAGGTCACCTTAAGGCCTTCAACAATGAGCAAAACCCATACAGCATAGTAATCTACAATGTATAATAGGCTCCGAAATGACAAACATAAAACAAGAAAACAAGAAAACTAACAGCCTGATTAGTACATAATTTGTGTTTAATAAATTTTAGGTGCTAAAAATAAGAAAATGAAATGAGTTGAATGTTAAAAAAAAATGTATCCATATACTTTTTGAAATGTTAGTGGTTAGTGCATGTAAATAAGAAATGGTATATAGCATCACTTTCTTTTTTACAATATTTTACAGTAGTTCAGAATCATTGATTTCAGTTGTCATTTTAATATAATTTGTCCATTCTAAGTTTGAACTCTTACACTGGTTGAATTAAAGCATGAATGCATTGTTGCATACACTTCTATATATTTTTTTCGTATTTCACTAATTCATTGAAAGGTTTCATAAATGTGTGTTATCTGTAAACTCATTTCACTAATATGTTGTTGTTTAATTTTTTAAAACATTGCTTGTTTCATGTTATTCTCTTTTTAATGAAGAAAATGTGATTGTGAAATTGCATGTAACTTGCAATATGTGAATAATTTTGTGTCAAATGTTTTGAAGTTGCCTTTTTCAGTAAAGACTCTTCCATTTAAATGAATGTTAAAGAGTATGATAGGAATTCAAGAATCCCCCCACAGCCAACATAATTTCTTTTAGTAATTTTGCATACATCAAATGAACCTAAACCAAAAATGACCCATGACCCATGTTCAAAAATTTTTCTTCCCTCCCTACCCTCTCACATTTTTATGCCCGACCTACGATAGTAGAGGGGCATTATGTTTTTTCGGTTTGTGCGTAGGTCTGTTTGTCAGTCTGTGCAGCTTCAGGTTAAAGTTTTTGGTCAAGGTAGTTTTTGATGAAGTTGAAGTCCAATCAACTTGAAACTAATATAATAAAATAGTACACATGTTCCCAATGATATGATCTTTTTAATTTTAATGCCAAATTAGAGTTTTGACCCGACTTTCAAGGTCCACTGAACATAGAAAATGATAGTGCGAGTGGGGCATCCGTGTACTATGGACACATTCTTGTTTTTAATGGAATAGCCCTTACTTCAGAGGTATATTGAGCTCCTCTATAAAATATATTTTCTGCTGCTGTATATTCTTTTAAAATATACCCTTCACTTTCTGTGTAAAAGCTGCTCAGGAAAATGTCATGTCCTTAACTTGCTACTACTACTGGCCCTCACACTGTTGGTGCACTGTTAAAGAAAAAGAGCGACAATTTTCTAGATGGATGTTATGTTCCTTTGTTAAATTCTGATTCTATCCAAAAGTGTGTTTGTTTTCATGTGGCAGTCGCGATTCAATGTTTCAGTATATGAATTACAGCTTATGGTAATTTTATTTTCCGTATAAACGTACCCCCCAAAAGGAAAATAATGTCACATCATTTCATTGGTTAAACTTAATTGTTTAGGAAGTTTTTGCCAATTACAATATTTTGGTGTGTGCTTTTGAAAATATTACTTAGAATGCATTAGATTCTTAAACAGATCTTATGAATTGATTTATTGTTAACTACCCCCGGTATTAAATTCCTGTCCTAATTATTCACAAAATATTTGCCATTGAAACCAATAATACCAGTCAATCTGTTCAACCAAAATTCAGATGATACCATGTGCAAATGGAAGTCACATTTCATAGAGAACAATGTTTGAAAAGCTTGTATATGATGCATTTTTGAAAATTAAATTTGGTAGACCCTGATTTTATACTATATATAACAGATTTTACTATGTAATGATTAGTACACAATGGCTAAATGTATTAAGATTTTTGTGTTATTATCACTAGATTAGGATAAAAAACAAATGACTAACATATAAAAATAAGGAGATGTTTTATAATTGCCAATGAGACAACTATCCACCCAAGTTCAAATGAAGTGGATGTAAGCAATTTAGGAAACCATATGGCCTTCAACAATGAGAAAAAACCCATACTGTATGGTCAGCTATAAAAGGCCCAAACAAGAAAAATATGAAACAATTCAATAGAGAAAACTAACGGCCTAATTTATAACAGAACAATTTATGAAAAACAAATATGACAGACATGAACCAATGAGAACCTACAGATTCCTGACTTGGGACAGGCACATAAAGAATGTGGCGGGGTTAAACATGTTTGTGAGCACTCAACCCCTCCTCCCCCTAACCTGTACATGTAGATTTGTGGAACTCCAAACAACTGCTATGTGCCATGCTCATCCTCATGAGGAGGTCATAAATCAAATCCCCATCAAGGTCACGCCAAAGACTGAAATAAAGGTGTTTGTTGCTTCTCTGCATAACACATAGCATTTAGTATCAGAGAAAAGACTAGTCAGAATTGGAATAGTGTGTTCAGATTAAGTGATGTTTCTTCCTGCAGACTTTTCCTTTTATTAACGAACACATTAAACATCAATCTTAAAATGCCAGAATGTAGTACAAAGCACTGGGATTCATATTCATATAGTATTAACATGTTTTTGTTCTGAATGTGCATTTACTGTTTGAAATTTGGCATCTAACATCCATCAAGACATCATTCAAGAACTGTGTGTTGGTATCAACATTTTAATTTAATTATCACCTACATTCATCTTCAAAAATATCAAACCCCAACCCATGTATGTGAGGTTTTAACCAATTGTATTCACCCTTGACAACAAACCATGCATTTATAATGATTTTAAATTATTTCATCAATGTAAAAATATCTATTAATCAATAAAGTTTTGTAGTAAGAACAAGGTTAATTTTTTTTTTCGGTTATACGTAGTCTAAAATTAACTTTATTTTGATATTTAACAAAACTTTATATTTTCAGCGGATTCATGGCTGAATGGAGATGATAATAATAATGACAATCCATCAGAACCGGGCGATAGAGTCTATAATGGCCGAACAAGCCCATCTAAAAACATGAATCATAGAGAGTGTCCTCCTAGTGCTTCAACTGTTGATAGTTTTGACAATGCTTATAATCGTAAAACAAGTGGTAAAACTCGTGCAGAACAGATAACTTCACAAACTGACGATTTCTTTGACTCTTGATGACAAGATTCAGTCATGTGACCTTGTTCCGTAGATAGTATCTCGACGGTTTTGGCCTGTCTCTCTGTGTCATATTTCATAGTATAACTGTAGTGATGAGATACATGTAGTACCCTACAATTGAAGTGGATTTAGTCATTATCACTTGTTCACACTTGGGTTAGCCAACAAATTCGTAAAACTCAAAGTTTACACACACAAAGTCTTGTGCCTACAAATTGGGTCAGACTTGTCCTGCCTTTTTTTTTTAAATTAGTTTAACACTTGTTTCTATATATATAATTGAAAACTTGAGTGGGTCTGGTTCATTTTGTGTAGGGTAGAAATGACATAATCCACATGTAGTGTAGAGTATGTGCAGTCTGACAGTCCGACTCTGACTGATCTAGTATTGTTATCATCATTTATATTTTTCTACAGTTTGTTCATACTTTTATATTTTGTAGGTTTTTTTTATACAAATGTAACAGTAAATTCAGGAATTATTGATATAAAACTATTAAAAGAGATGAGGTATTATTATCAATGAGACATCTTTCAACCAGAACAATTTTTATTGCAGTTGTTATCAAATGAATAAATGTGATTACAGGATAAAGTGCGAAAAAAATAAACATTAATAATGTATTGACAATTTTCAATGCAATATATAGTATAATACTTATCCTGTTGCATTAATTGCAAAAATTTCTGAATTTACAGTTATACATTATAATTACTAAAAATGTATATGTCTATGTGAAAGAGGTTCATCTGTGTACTTATTACTAAGTTATTGTTATCATGAATTATAAGTTGATATTGTCAATAACGTTTATGAAAATATTTAATGTAATTTTTTATGCAGGTCCAGAATTAGTTTTTTTTTTTTAAATGACAATTTAAAAAAATCCTTCCAATGTCTATTTATATATAATATTACATGTATTGATAATGAATGCTGCTAGAGGTATTTTTTGCTCTATTTTATCAGATAAAACTTGTTTGCCACCAATGATTAGTATAGATATTTGGACTATTTTGCTTCTAGAATTACTTTTAAATTTTAGATAAAAAAAATTGCATTTCAATGGCTTTTCACTCCATTTTAAACAACCTTTGAATAATGTAGAAAAGAAGAATTTCCTGTTTTATCCGTACAAAAAAATCCATTTAAAATTCTTAAAACTGGTAAACCAGACTCTCAAAGTAAAAGCATACAAGAGTGGCAGTTTGGAATTTTAAAACACAAAACAAAAAATGGATTCCAGTGAAATGCACAAATCTTGCCATACACTGAAAATTTGACTACAGGTAAAATATTTATATATCACAAAATTTCTAGTCCTTATGTTCAGGTTTATTTATGGATATGCATTGGATATTTTGTTAACTTGTAGGTATGTTTTTTTATTGTGGCATTATGTGGCTGTCTCATTGACCTTTATATCCAACATCTTTATACTCATTTCTGTCAATTACAGTTAATAATAAATTCTTCAGCAGGTTAAAAAAAAGCAATACATAGAAGTTCTATATTTATTATGTATTCATTAAAAATTATCACATATAAGTTATGAAAACAGAGACATATACTTTAAATTCAGATTTGTTTTTAGTGTATTTTTGTGAATGTTTGTCTTAGCAAAAGAATTAAATCAAGACTTGGAAACCCTCCTTAAAATTATGTTGTAAGAACTAAAAATGCAAATTCCAATTAACAGGAGACTTATCATAGATTAGGTTTAGCAATAATAAAAAATTAAAGCATTTCAGGAATTTCTGAATATAGGTGTCAGACCATCAATTCAAAATTCCTATGTATTCTACCAAACTTTTCAGTTTTCACTGCTCTCTAAATATTTGACCTTAATTAAAACTTCACGAAAACCATGTATATCCAGAATCATACATGAATTAACTTTCTACAAGCCAATTATTTAATGTTAGTGACGCAAGATGTTCAAGAAATAAAGTCCCTGTCAATTAAAAATAGCTTGTTGGGTTACTGAAAATCTGTATTTAGAATACAATTGAGCACAACTACCCTGAAATTGTGTTGCAAGTTCATGCACAAGTAAATTTGGGCTCAAAATGGTCAAAACATATTTCTCAATAAAAAAAATTTAACATTCATGTAAAAGTTTTAACTAAGCAACAATATTAAATAGCACTATTTTTGTCAGAGTAGGGCTACTTTTATGTTCTAAATTGGAGTGGGTGAATTGTTAATCTGACACCTTTACCAATGTATTAATCTGTTATTAGCCCTTACACACAGAGTGATGATAGTTATATGCTCAGTGATAATTAAATGTATTAATCCGGTCATTAGCCCTTACACACAGAGTGATGATAGTTGTATGCTCAGTGATAATTAAATGTATTAATCCGGTCATTAGCCCTTACACACAGAGTGATGATAGTTATATGCTCAGTGATAATTAAATGTATTAATCCGGTCATTAGCCCTTACACACAGAGTGATGATAGTTGTATGCTCAGTGATAATTAAATGTATTAATCCGGTCATTAGCCCTTACACACAGAGTGATGATAGTTATATGCTCAGTGATAATTAAATGTATTAATCCGGTCATTAGCCCTTACACACAGAGTGATGATAGTTATATGCTCAGTGATAATTAAATGTGTTCATACAGGTCAGGTTTTGGTATTTTTAACTTTATCATTTAGTTTTACCATTAATTTAGATATATTAGATATCATGCTATGGTTTAACTGAGGAACTGGATGGGGTTTACAGAATAGAGGCTTTTAAATTAATGAATAGATAAAAACTAGTGAAAAAAAATAGAGACTAATTGGGTGCAGAAGTATATAGAATGATTTTGGAAAATTAAAGAATATGGTAATACAATATGAACGATGTACAGAATCAAGAAATCATATAATTACAGATTTATAGCCGAAAAACATCCCCCAGTATTAATTACCATAGATAATCTGTTTATTGCTATTGTGCTATTACAACGTTTAAGTTTACATTGACAACATCATGTGTGCCCCTAGTTTCTAGTGATAATTTTCTATCTCAAGTGAGTATCATGATGATCCATGATCATGATGATATGAAAAATTATCACAAAAAGATATCTAGGGAAAATTCACAAAAAAGCGTTAACAATGTTATATAAAAAAAAAAAATTCATGAGAATTTTACCGAATAAGCGTTATTTTTAAAGTTTAAGAAAAATGCCCCAAAAATTGAAAGAATACAGAAATAGAGAACTCCCTACCCAGACCCTCTTAACTTGCACAGGTTTGCTGTGAATGATTAGAAAATTGTACTATTTGGTTGAAATGTGTTATCAGTATTGATGAAAAGCCAAATATTTTGATTATTAAATTGGTACCTGTTATAAAGGTGATATATTATTTTTCACTGGTTCTATATATCATGTTATCATACCGGTTATAAAGATGATATTTTAATGTTTACTGTCTCTATATACCATGAGATCATTTCAAGGTGTTGTGTCCTTTTTTCTATTTTACAACCATTTTCGGACCAATAAATTGTGGCTTTTACAGTTTTAAAATTAAATAAAATATGTTAATTTAACTTAAAGATTAGATGTAAACTCTAGACTATTCATAAATAGGAAAAATTATCAGAAAGTTTTTCAATGTTAAAAACTAATAATTTGGCAGTATCTTATTGGACATTTTGATACTGCACAAAAACGAGGTTACTAGATTTGAAATTTTAGTTTAATTTCACAATTCTTAATATTGATCCTTTTATGTAAGATGTTAAGTTTCCTTCATTTGCAATATATTAAAATTCCTATTAAAAATCTAAAAAAAAATCAGAATTTGAATTTTGTATATTCCAATGAAAATGTTTTACCTATATTAACCTGCTTATTAGGTTTAAAGTGAAATATATTAGAATATGATCATTGCAGTAATATTTGAAAGAAGATACGTGTATATATCACCTTATTTATTATCAGTTCATTTAGTATTGTAAACAATACATGTATTTTCATCAGTATTATAAAAAACATAGATGTATCATTTAGATTATTTAGTGTTTGGATGTAGTGTATATATGAAAGACAACTCTTTGAAAGCAACAAATAAAAGGAGTAGATTTTTCATTTGCAATTGATTATACTGAAAATCTGTCCAGTTTGTTATAGTTTTAATTTCTATTAGTGACCTTCCTTATCTGTAAGATTTTCTTTTTTTATGCCAATTAATGGTCCACTAGACTTTAAAAGTTTCTCATGTTTTCATAGAAATGCAAAAAAGCTGAATTTGAAATAGAATTCTATGTTTAACAAAATTATTTAGAAATTTTACAAAACATTCAGTATCAGTTGTAGCCATAATCATAAGAACTGTACAAGTGAATCATTCCACACAAAAAATATATCCTGAGTGCATAAAGAGGTCAGCATGTCAAGGAATTCCCTATATCTATATTGAAATTTTAAATATTCCCCTTAACCGTCTGTCCGTCTCTCCGTCTTTCAGTCCGTCCTTCTGTCCATCTTTCTGTCCGTCCCAAAAGTATTTTCACATATTATAATCATGCTTGTACGGGGGCATTCATGTCCTCAGACACATTCTTCTATTATATTTTAACTAATTTGTGTGCATTTATTTTTGTCTTTCTTTACATAATGTAGAATAACAAGTAATTCACCTCATATTTAGATGCTGGAATCAAACAAGAACTCCCCACCACCACATACAAATATTCAGGGTAATATGAATTTTCAGCTTTTTTGACATACATATATGACTTCTAAAAAAATTGTGCAAAAATAACAGTCTTATTTTGAAGATGTTCACTGACAATTTTGGACCCTAATTTATTCATCCCAGTGTTCCAAAAGTCTTTATTAATGTTTTTCAAAACAGATAATAGATGATGGTAGTTTTTTAGTGCTAATGAAAGCATGGTTTTCCTACACCACATTTTGCCTTAAATGAAGAAATAGTTATGAGATTGTTAGTAATTTAGTTATAATCAAATAACCATTTTATATTTCACAAAGGGCCTATATTTTTCCATCTTTTGAAATTGGAAAAACCTAGTTAGACCCTCTTAGATCCCCTGTAATTCATGAAAGGAGAAGAGTGAAATTGCAAATTTCCTTGCCGCATCAATTTGAAAATAAGGTCTTGTAAATATAGTACCAAACTCACTGGTTAAAGGGGTTTCTCTGTCATCCTTGTATTAACTGTATGCCCTGTGATTTGACTGGCTGGCAATAACTATTGTCGCTTTTTTCAAGAGGTTCTGTAAATTCAGAAATTATTGCGAGGTTTTTATTAATGCAAAAAATGGGACTGGGTAAATATCGCAATAATAAGAACAAACATTTTGACATCTGATACTTATATCTGTATGCAGATTTCCCTGAAATCGCAATAATTAATCCTGCATATTTATTAACTTTTTTAAAATTGCAATAATAAATGCATACAATCAAGGTTATAATGATTTTTCGGTCAACTAAACACATTCAAGTATAGGTACTGTAATGATCTAGACCAATGGGTCATGTAATAACTTCCTCTAAATTTAAGTTCAAAGTTCAAATTATCATGACATATAGGATCATTTTCTAGAAATTCGATTTTGGGAACAAATTACAGTTAACTTATAATTTATCCATCAAACTGGTACTAAGTATTTATTTTGCATTGTTTCACACAGTATTCCAAAGAACCAGTAAATGTTTGTTATCGTTATTTATCTGAACCAGTATTTATTTCTCTGTGATATATATTGTTTGTTTCTTCAAATTTTATACAAGATTTATTTATAGCACACAAATAGATTTATATAAATTGTCTTTTTCATATGGTTGTACATTTGAGGAAAAATTTAGTAAAAAGTTTGGTGATTTTTTGTGAATTAGGTTATATTATAAATGATAGAATTTTGTAAAGTGAATGTTTGTTTTCATTACAATAAACGTTTCAGATGCTTGTTGATATGCAGCATTAGTTATGTGATGTCTTCCATCTGTGAGGTCCCACATAAGAATATGATTACTGTTACATAATAACCAAATAATTAATTCTAGATCATTTCAATACAATCTCTGTAATAGAACGGCGCTATAATATCCACTACCACACATATTTAACATCTGTTCAAGGGCCTATATTGTTTATTATGAATATAAGGAGATGTGGAATGATTGCCAATGAAGTTGCTATCTACTAGAGACCAAAAAACATGAATTCATGCATATAAACTATATGTCGCTGTACAGCCTAAAAAAATAGTAAAATCCATTCTATCAGGAACAATCTATACTAACATTAGTATAGACTGTCCCTGATTCCATATATTAACCTATTAAATTTAAAGGCCCTGACAAGATAAAACGTGCAACAATTTTAACATGAAAACCAGCAGTTTGATTTATGATTAAACAAACGAAAAAAGGTATGACAGACATCAATAAATGCAATCAACTGACTTAGGACAGACATATACAGAATGTGGTGGGGCCAAACATGGTCCTGAACGCTCAGCATTCCCCAATTTGGGACAGAGGTGTAAAGTTTTTTTCATGTTTTTTTTTTTTTTTTTTTAAACCCTAATGTAGGTATTGGAGCACTTACCAAGCTATATTCGCAATATAAATGTCATTTACATGGGCACATAGCTTCTGCCCAAAGTTGATTAACTCATTTTTGTCGAGCCTTCGACTTTTGTCGAAAAAGTGAGACATAGCGATCCTACATTCCGTCGGCGTCGTCGTCGTCGTCGTCGTCGTTGTCGTCGGCGGCGTCCACAAATATTCACTCTGTGGTTAAAGTTTTTGAAATTTTAATAACTTTCTTAAACTATCCTGGATTTCTACCAAACTTGGACAGAAGCTTGTTTATGATCATAAGATAATATCCAAAAGTAAATTTTGTAAAAAAAAATTCCATTTTTTTCGTATTTTACTTATAAATGGACTTAGTTTTTCTGCCAGTTAACATTACATTCACTCTGTGGTTAAAGTTTTTGAAATTTTAATAACTTTCTTAAACTATCCTGGATTTCTACCAAACTTGGACAGAAGCTTGTTTATGATCATAAGATAATATCCAAAAGTAAATTTTGTAAAAAAAAAAATTCCATTTTTTCAGTATTTTACTTATAAATGGACTTAGTTTTCTGCCAGGAAACATTACATTCACTCTGTGGTTAAAGTTTTTGAAATTTTAATAACTTTCTTAAACTATCCTGGATTTCTACCAAACTTGGAAAGAAGCTTGTTTATGATCATAAGATAGTATCCAGAAGTAAATTTTGTAAAAAAAATATTTTTTTTTTCAGTATTTTACTTATAAATGGACTTAGTTTTTCTGCCAGTTAACATTACATTCACTCTATGGTTAAAGTTTTTAAAATTTTAACAACTTTCTTAAACTATCTTGGATTTGTACCAAAATTGGAGAGAAGCTTGTTTATGATTAAAAGCTAGTATCTAGAAGGAAATTTTGTTCAAATTTTGTTCCATTTTTTCCGTATTTTACTTATAAATGGACTTAGTTTTTCTTCCAGTTAACATTACATACAGTCTGCAGTTTAAGTTTTTAAAACATTTATTAGATTCATAAACTGTCCTGGATTTTTACCAAACTTGGACAGAAGCTACTTACAATCAAAAGATAGTATAGAGAGGAATATTTTTATTAATTTTTTTCCTCATTTTTGTTGAGCCTGCGATTAACAGCAAAAGTAGGCGAGACACTGGGTTCCGCGGAACCCTTACGAATTTTTATACTCACCCGAGACTTTGTTGATATAAATCTTTTTTATGACCTTTATTAAAATTTAAAAAAATGTAGAAGTGAAAACATATACAATGTAATTTTCCTGAAAATCTACATTTTCAAGGAGCAAATCTCCCATATAAAAACAAGAATATGTGGTATGATCGCCTATGAGACAATCTTCCACCAGAAAACAGATTACGTAGAAGTTAGTCACTATACGATCTTCAACAATAAGCGAATCCCATACCGTAAATATGTATCAAGATTAAACTATAGTTGCATGTGCTTTCAACCCTCCCTCTTTTAATTTCTATCAGTGGACTAATAAAAGGTTCATAAAAGAGGTTACACGGAATCAGTATTAAAATCTTAGATGACGATGTGTTAAGTAATATGCTTTAATAATAGCATACTAATAATTATAAGATAATTAGATGTGAGCATTGAACTTGTACAAAAAACATTCACGTTTTTATCCACCAAAGAAGCCTGCAAAAGGTGAGCAATGTATTGGTGGAAAAGCTAAGCCTATTCACTTCTTTATGTTTTATAGTTCACAATTTGGAAGCTGGGACCATCTCCTTAGTCGTAACGTTTTGTTCTAAACCGACCGTCATCGTCGATTTTTAGATGTAAATCAAGATACGAGGCATACTTAACTGTATCTGCTGTAACCTGTTCAATTTATCAGAGTTTCGCCAAATTACTCAACATTTTCCCTCTTGATTCTTGTGGCGAACAGGGTGTGCTGATTTTAACACTTGTATGTTATGATGATTTGTGGAATGTAACATATTAATATTAAAATAATCTTGATGACACAAACGTGCAATACCTCAGGAATTGATCATGCTATTCGAGTCTGAGACGGGAAATAAATATTGGAAATTTTAATATGATTATGACTCGTGCATGAAATCTGATTAACGATAACATGTTTCTTTTGAATACTAGTATCCAGTGTCAGTAGAACATTGTACATTGAACATCAGCAACATATACCTCACGACACTTTCGAAAATAATAAATAATCATTGGTCTGTTTAATTTTCCTTTGGAATTTCAATCAAAGAACTGTAGAACTGGATATACCTTCATTTAATAGGATGCCTCAATTACATAAGTGTCCTTACAAACAACGTTATATTGGAAGGTCTTCAAAGTATTTCATGAAACAGATTTCTAATCTATTGACATCAATTTTATCAGCTATCAATGCCATGATTTCAGAGTTATAGTAAAACTACCTAATCTAAGGGCGGTGTGAATCAGCTGCGGATACTTAAAACTTCCAAAGATCTGTTACAGTACATACAATCTTAGTCTCTTTCTTCTTGCAATATTATGAAAAAAAAACCCATTTGATTTTGTTCCAAACTTTAAGACAAATTGGAAGAATTGGTCTGACTTTGTTTCATAAAAAAGAATGGCCAAAGCAGGTACACATATCTTGTTTTAGGGAGGGACAAATCATACTTTGTAAAAAAAAAACCCACTTTGATTCAAACACAAAAGAATCAGAAACTATGCTTGATTTCTTGATTGACAACATATTTGTTATGTTTGGATGAGTTTTTCTACAACCAATCGGTATTCTCGTGGGAAACAGCAGTGCTTCTCCTCTTGCCGACTTGTTTCTTTCTTCATATGATACAGACTTCATACAGTAGCTCCATAGGAAGAATGAAAAGAAGGTAGCATTACCTTTTAACTACACCTTCCTGAAAACAGACGATGTCATCTCACTAAATAATTCAAATTTTGGCGTAGGTCTGTTTAATTTTACTTCGGAATTTCAACTAAAGAACTCTAGATGTGTGTATTCCTTAATAGGATGCCTCAATTACATAAGTGTCCTTACAAACAACGTTATATTGGAAGGTCTTCACAGTATTTCATGAAACAGATTTCTAATCTATTTACATCAATTTTATCAGCTATCAATGCTAAGACTTCAGAGTTATTGTATAACTACCTAATCTAGGGGCGGTGTGAATCAGATGTGGATACTTAAAAATTCCAAAGATCTGTTACAGTACATACAATCTAAGTCTCTTTCTTCTTGCAATATTATGAAATAAACATTTAATTTTCTACCCATTACACAAGTATTCCACAGTCCAAAAATAAAGACAAATTGAAAAAATTGATCTGACTTTGTTTCATCAAAAAGAATAGTCAACGTAGATACGCATATCTTGTTTTAGGGAGGGGACAAATTATAATTTGTAAAAACACACTCTGATTCAAACACAAAATAATCTGAAACTATGCTTGATTTCTTGATTGACAACATATTATGTTTGGATGACTTTATCTACAAACAATCGGCATTCTCATGGGAAACAGCAGTGCTTCTCGACTTGTTCCTTTATTCATATGAGACAGACTTCATACAGTAGCTCCATAGGAAGAATGAAAAGAATGTACCCTTTGACCACACCTTCCTCTATACAGACAATGTCCTCATACAAAATAATTTAAAGTTTGGCGACTTTGTTGAACGCATCTATCCCATCGAATTTAAATCAAAGGTTGCAACAGATACAGTTAAGTCTGCCTTATATCTTGAATTACATATAAAAATCGACGATTACGGTCGGTTTAGAATAAAACTTTACGCCTAAAGAGGTGGTCCCAGCTCCCCAGTTGTGAACTATAAAACATAAAGAAGTGAATATGCTTAGTCCTTCCACCCAAACAATTTTCACCTTTATCAGAATTCTTTGGTGAATATATACGTGGATGCTGTTTTACAAGTTCAATGCTCACATCTAATTATCGTATAATTATTAATATGTTATTATAAAAGCACATTTCTTAACACATCGTCATTAGAATTTATTGAAACTAATATGCTCCTGTGATGTTTTACATATCAGTTAAACATGTCATGGTATACCTCTAGTGAACCTAATATTCTCTTGTGATGTTTTAACTACTAGTGTCAGTTAACCATCTCATGGTTTACCTTTAGTATATCTAGTATTATCCTGTGATGTTTTCCTATTCAGGTAAACGTGTCATGATTTCCTTAGGTGAAACAAGGATTTTTCCTGTGATGTTATACCTATCAGTTAAATATGTCATGGTACCCCTTAGGTAAAACAAGAATTCTCCTGTGATGTTTTACCTATCAATTAAATATGTCATGGTATACCTTAGGTAAAACAAGAATTATACTGTGATGTTATACCTATCAATTAAATATG